ATACAACAAGCAAACTTGCTTAGCTCCCAGGAACTTTCCAAATACCACATCAACATTGAGAAAATCGCAGAACCACCCCTCCCAAAGTATAAAAACACACTACAAACTAACAAAAACCAAAGTTGCACACAAGAACCCCTAAACACTCCCACCTCCCAACATCATTTTTTAGAAGAACACCCTCATCCCAGAGAAAAGCACAAAAACCAGCTCAAAGATGTAACACATCCCCTCCGACACTCCGTACAGTAAAATTCCAAACACCTAATAGCCAACAAGGACTTAAAATTCTACACCAAAACATAAATTGGTTATCTAAAAAAACTGATAGACTAGCACACTTCCTCCAAGATGAAGACCCGGACCTGATCATAATAACAGAGCACGGCGTAGCACAACAAAACTTGCAAAACACGTGGGTAGAAAATTACTCACTTATTGGAGGCTTCTCAAGGAAATCCCATGTCAAAGGAGGAGTGGTCGCTTATGTAAGAAGTGGCTGGGAAAAGCATGTATCACTCATATGCACAAGTAGCGAGGAAACAGAACTAATTTGCGAAACTGTGCTCTTTGAACTGAAGCTAAACAGGAATCCACTGCTGGTCCTCGGAGTATACAGGCCACCAAGTGCAAACCTAGACCAAGCCATCGATATACTCTCTGAACAACTGGAAGCAGTGCTCACTACGGATAAGCAAATATTAATAATGGGAGACATCAATGTAAACAACCTAGTTGATGACAATGAAAACGAAAAAATTGAAGAACTCCTAACCTCCTTCAATATCTCAAGACTGAGGCTACCTCCCACTCGAATTACAAGTGACTCAGAAACATCAATAGACTGGATATGCTCAAACATTGATAATCAACAAATAGAAACCTCAGTTATAACATCAGGACTATCTGACCATACCGCACAAATCGCAAAAATCATCACTAGAAAACCGATCATCAACAACATCAAAGAAAATAAACGAATCTTCAACAGAACAACAATAGATAACTTTAAGACACAGCTACAAGAACAAGACTGGGAAACTATAATACAAACTCATGACGTAGATGAAGCCTACAACAATTTCAGCAACATCATCCAGACAACACTAAACCACGCCTGCCCTCTTAAAACGTCAAGAGTTAAACAACATAAAAGGAGACAGTGTTGGAATCAAGAATCGGCTAGACTTAAAAATGAATATATAAAGGCCTTAGAAAAGGAGCAAACAACCGGACTTATGGAAGACAAAACCAGAACAACTATTAAAAAAAGGGAGTACGACCAGCATTTGAAAATGCTTCGTAAAGAAAACAACACAGCTCACATAAACCAGGCTGAAAACAAGTCCAAAGCACTGTGGCAAACAATAAACCGAGAAAGGGAAGCGAGATCAAATACTGAAAACCAAATCCATCTTCAAGTCAACAATAAAACAATAGACGACCCAATAGAAGTTTCAAACTGTTTTAATGATTTTTTCTCATCAATAGCCGACCGAACACTCCAAAATAACAATAACTCTAGAACCAATGCCTTAACAGACCACTCACCAGCAACACATCACACACTCCAGTTCAGACGGGTCACACAAGAAGAAGTGCAAAAGGCCATTCAATCTCTAAAGATGAAAAATTCATCCGGAACTGATGAGGTATCAGCTAAACTTCTAAAAAACTGTAAAAATGAAATAGTAATACCCCTGACAGACCTCATAAATAAATCACTCTCACAAGGAAAATTCCCAGATAAATTAAAAATAGCTAAAGTCTACCCAAAATACAAAAATGGACCAACGATAGAAAGAAACAGCTACAGGCCAATCTCCCTAATATCAACATTTTCAAAAATAATCGAAAAGATAGTACTAGCCCAACTCCTACACCATCTTCAAGAACACAACCTTCTCAATAGTCAACAGCATGGATTTATCAAAGGTAGATCGACAGCCACAGCCTTAATACAACTGACGGAGCACATACTAGACCAACTAGAAGAAGGCAGCACTTCAACAAGCCTCTTCCTAGATTTTAGTAAAGCTTTCGACTGCCTAAACCACGAACTTCTTCTACTCAAGCTGGAAACACTAGGCGTGAGAGGAAGAGCAGCAGAATGGTTTAAAAGCTACATTAGTAACCGGAAACAGCTTGTGGAAATAGCCTACATAAAGAACAACACTAAGTATAAGGCCCAATCCAAAGCTGTAGACGTGCAAAGAGGAGTACCCCAAGGATCAGTACTTGGCCCAGTCCTTTTCCTCCTTCTCACGAATGACCTACCTAGTTGGATTGGGGAAGATGGACACACCACCATGTACGCAGATGACACAGTTCTCACATTTGCGGACAAAACAATGGAAAATCTGGAAGAGAAAACCAACACACAACTCCAGAGAACAAAGCAATACTGTACCTCCAACGACCTAGTTCTAAACGAAAGCAAAACCGTTCAAATGACTTTCACCACCAAACGCAACAACACAGACATTACAATACCGGGACTACAAACACAAAACACCACAAAATACCTAGGCATCATAATTGACTCCAAGCTATCATGGAAACCCCACATAGACCAGCTCTGCAAAAAGCTAAGTTCAAGTCTCTACGTTATACGTAGGATCAAGCAAGCTTGCAGCCCAGAAGTAGCCAAAGTTGCATATTTTGCTCTATTCGAGTCCCACCTCAGATATGGCATTGCGACTTGGGGTGGAACATCAAAAGGCAACCTGGAAAGAGTACTCCTAAAGCAAAAAAGAGCAATTAGATGCCTTGCCGACCTGAACTACAGAGACAGTTGCCGAGAAGCCTTCAAGAACCTTAAAATTCTCACATCAATTTCACTCTACATAAGAGAAGTCATTATCCACACCACTAAAACAGCCCAGCCAAGACACAGAGACATACACCAGCACAACACACGACATGCCGCCAATTTTTCCCTCCCACAACACCATCTGAGTCTGTACGAGAAGAAACCATCCTACAAAGGTGCTCTGTACTTTAACAACCTACCAGAGCACCTCAAGAGAGAACAACCCAATCTGCTCAAGAAGCACCTGACAACATGGCTTATAGACCGGCCGTTCTACTCTGAGGATGAATTCTTAAACAATAAGCTACCATGAAAAAAAGAAGAAAAAGAAGAAAAAAATTCTAATTGTAATTGCAAATTACTGTAATAGTTTACGTACATACTGTACATTTTATGTACCTGACGCATGAATGTTCTCTAAGAATATTTCAATAAAGATTTTGTCTATTGTCTATTGTCTATTGTCTATTGATGAAAGGAAGGCATCAGCAGCGCAGGACAAACCGGCGCCTGGAAAGGGGAAAAGGGGAACACAAGAAAGTACCCCACCCCTGAATAAGAACTCTTTGAGAATATTAACAGGTTTTCTAACTGGACATTGTAGGCTCAGAGGTCTTCTGGGAGTAAAAGAGAACATCGTTCAGGAAAATGACTGCTGATTTTATCAATCAGGGGAAGAAACGCCCAGACATCTATTGGCTGAATGTGATGCAGTTGGGCAAAAAAGAGCCAGTAGCTTGGGAATGCACCAAGTAGCAGTTGGAGTTTTTCCGCAGTTAGAACCCCAACTGACACTGAACTTCAGTAAGGAGCTAGAATTGGAGGGGGTTCTCTAGGCTACGACTGGAGACTAGTTTGGGGGACACAATAGATCTTACAGGTCCCAGTGTAATCTTCCTCCCAGGTATCATCAGTATCAGTAATGGTCTAAGTTGCCATAACACGTCCACAACCATTTAATAGGACCAAGATGAATATGAGAAAAGATTTAAGTCTCTTAAAAGGTGGGAGGGTGGTTTGTGATGCTATAAACTCCGTTAATATGAGGTAAAAATTAACAATTTATTCATAGCTGCCGGTTTGGCCACACCGTGACACGGCGGGTCCATAGGTGGTGGATAATGGAATAGAACCCTGTCAAGGGATAGAAGTGAAACTCCCACAAACCAAAACTGATAAACTTGTTATTTTGTTTTGCCGATACAGTTTTCTTAAAAATAAAATTATGGTTCCTAAGTTCATTGAAGAATGAACAGTAAGGGATCGCATTTGATTGCAAGAATTGCAAATGAGGATAATATAGTGTCACAATTAATATAAATAATCTATCAACCCAAACATGCAATCGCATTTGTCCACATTTATTTATATATAAATACTTGAAGGTCACATGGCGTGGCTATGTGGGGTCTCCCGCCGAGCGCTCCAACTATCGTCTATTTAGGCTACACCCATACATCAGAATTAAACTGACACATTTACATCAGGGCCCACATTAACATCAGAATCCTGGACTTATATATATATATATGTTTGTGTTCGTAAGAAAACGCTCTACAACCCATACATTGTCTAATTTTTTAATGCCTCGCAAATAAAAAAATACAGTAGAGAATCCAAAATAACAGTGTCAATATTTTCACAATTTCATCAATTATACTAAAATCAGGGGAAAACTATTAGATTTACAGTAAACATGTATAAGGAAGGTTTTTGTTGTAGGAAATTTAGTTTTAAAGACAACAAGCTATTGTTTTACCGACTACTCGTACGTAAACTAGACGCGTTTTAGTAAAACCATGCAACTGCTGACTTTGAGGGGGGTAGGGGGAAAGCACCTGGGGGATTTTTAGGGGACTTTTGGTAAAATGTATATCTAGTTGGGTACTAATGATTGGTATATAGTTTTGCCTGTTACTAATTTGTTTAGACAAAAAACCTTTATTGACTGGGCTACTTAGCCAGGACCATTTATTTAAAGTTCAATGATCAAGGTCTTTAGAGTTTAGAGTTAGAATTTATAGACCTTGCATTGCACTTTCCAGACAGCATCTAACAAGCATGAGGAAACCCCTGTTTTGAACATTTAGAAATGGTCTGCTTGAAAAATCCACCTGATCACACTGTATCTTTGTTTTTCTTCCTATCTATAAACCAAGGAATGGATATGATGAGATGAGATACTTACAAAAACCAGCATGATGAAGAACGCTGCAATATATGATGTCCGGGCCATCCACATACTGACAAAACGGTAATGCTCTCCAGTCACGACATTCCTGGTAACAAATATTACCTTGTTTTAATTTGTTTTTTTTTTTTTAGTTTTATAGCAGGGTGTATTGTAATAAGTAAATGATAATTCAATATAAGAAACATTCGACTTGAGATACAATAGCTTTGTTACAGAAACTCTACTGTAAATTGGACATTGTATTCATATTCAAATATTAAGTTTTCAAAAAAAAGGGCTCAGTTCAAATTAGCCATCCCAGCTACTGTGTAATACTGTTTTCATCCTTATACACTTACTTAGGTCAACTGAAGATGCGTTTTTACTTAATTCTAAGAATGAATACCCTATACAACTAGGTAAACCATGTATCCAATCAGTTATTTTTTTTTCAATAACAGTAGACCTATTTTGTTGTGGTTTGAGAACAGAGCTTCGACTCTGGAGTTCTATTATACTTATAGGGTTTTCACAAAAAATTCTCATTTCATTTACCTGCCTACAACATTTTTCTTTGACTTTCTGCTGTTTTTGAATCCAATGTTTGAAGCCCCCTAATGGCAAGAAGCTGTTAGTCCACCTTTTGTTCCCTAGTAAGAGTACACAGCTTCTTACACTACAAATCTTAAGATATTCGACATACAGCTCACATTACGATTAAGTATATGTTTACATATTTCAGCTTGCATCCACTTTGTCAACAAAATATATAAAATATATAAGCATACATGATTCTAATTTAAGCTTTATGTCGGATAAATAAGGCATGTATAACCATTGACTTTTTAGAACATAGTTGAGTGAGCCAGTCATTGATTGCGCTAGTGCTGAAATTCTATTTCCTACCTTATTTGTTGTCTCTTTGACAGTTGATGGGATATAGCTTACAATAACTAATTTTATCAGTTTTACTTGGTTAGAAATTCTGCATATTCGACAGAAATTAGTTATTTATAAGTAGCGCAATCTGTCATTGGCTCACTTCAAAAAAAGCTGGCAACAACTTTTGGAGATGGGATGTCTAGTTATATAAATAGTCAAAGGTAAAATGTAGTATTCTCATGGATTAACAACTCAGGTGCTGAAGTAAAATTGACGTTGTACTGAGATATTCATTAAAAAAAACTATAGGCCCATATCAATTTTAAAATTAAAAAATTCAAATACTTGAACTCACCTTAAGTAACCCTTATTGTCCTCACTCTCCGCCAGCGTCTTGATGGAAGACATCAGAAGGTCGTCGTAGCCGAGGAACTCGTCTAGGACGAAGCGAGAGAAGGCGTCACCAAAGCAAGAGTCACGCCCAGGGTCAAGCGTCACAGTCATCACGGGGATGTTGAGGCGTCGTCTAGTAGCGGGTGACAGTCGTAGGAAGCCATATTCCAGTGAATATTCCACTACGTACTCCTCATCTGGCCACACTACACATCAGTCAACTCAAATCTTTTCCAAGCTTTAACCTAAACTTTTAAAAACTTAATTTTGATTAATAAACTTAATAAAATTTAATAAACCTAAACTAATCTAATTGATAGCCTTGTGTAAAGTTTGAAATGTGTTTCTCATGCGAGTAGACTTTCCAATTCAGGTAAGCCTGCTATTCTAACAACAATACTGAACAGGAAGACCCTTGAGCTCTATATTTAGTGTTAAGTTACAAACCATAATAAAATATGATAATATATAAAGGTTTAGTGTATCGCCCTACAATGAAGTTACCAGTATCTTAGAAACAGCTGAACTAATGTATGAGCGATTGAGCAATTGCAGGATAAGTAAGCAGTGTATTTAGTTATGAAAGAGTTAAACCCCTTTTTTTATTTCAATTTTTTTAATGATATTGTAACGCCTTTACAAAAATCAGGGTTTCTCTGTCTAGTTTATTTCTATTTTAAAATTCAACACTAATTTCAGATTTTTCAAGAGTAGTTTTTTCAACATTTAGTAATGTGTCGATACCAAAATGTATTAATTCTTGGTTCTTGATACCGATTTTTATAGTTTTATCCAATTTTCTAAATAATTTTGTTATACTACACCAATTTCCGTCTTTATGTCTAAAGAAAATGCAGCAATGAAAAATTCTAACTGGCCAATTTGGGCTTAATCCCTTCTCAACACAGTAAATAGCTACCATATCAAAGGTAAATGAAGATCTAACGACAAAAATACTATTTTGTTATAACTGGAGGTGTGCCAGCATGATATTTTCAATCAAGCCAAACTAGTAATAGTGTGATTCGACTTCTACAATTACTGCGAAATCCGGAACTCCCAACGTTACAAAAATGTCATCGTCTGCTTGCGCGAACACGGCAAATCTTTATTATCTTGTGCGGCCGTGTAAACATTATCAGCATATTTTGCTATCGCTACAACATTCTGATTATTTCCTGCGGCCATCAACATCGACTTCCGAGGTCATGGAAATGTCATCGTCGTCTTGTGCGATCGCGGCAAATTCACTAACATTTCTCGGCTGTGTCGATATAATCATTGTGTTCCGTGATCGTAGCAAAATTCTGTTAATCTCCCGCCCCCGTGTAGACATCATCAATGACTCCCACGGTCACAAAAACGTGGTAAAATTATGAACATCTCCTGCGGTTAGGAAAACGTGATCGTCGTCTAGCGCAATCACGGCAAAACCATGAAAATTTTACACTATCGTGTGGACATTATCGTAGTCTTTTGCGATCGCGATCAAGAAGATGTGATCGTCTTCTAACACAATCGCGGCAATTTCATGAATATCTCCCACGGTCACGAAAACGCAATTGTTGTCTAGTGTGATCGTGGCAAAATTTTGTTTATCACCCACGGCCGTACGGATATCATTGTCGTGTCCCGCGGTCACAAAATAGTGATCAATGTCTTTTGGGATTGTGGCAAAATCATAACAATTTCAGACTTTGGTATTAAAATAGACTAAATCCCGACTTTTCAAGACCATTTTGAAATTCAATACTAATTTCTGACTTTCCCAACTACTAGACATCCTGAAAAATACTGTAGCTGTACTTAGAAAATGTGTTTTAAAAAGGTGCTAGAAATTCAAGCAGCTAAATGAATATTCTTATTCTATGAGTAAGACTAGAGATTTGTTCTTATTAATTATGTAATATTACCTGCTCTGACGAGTTTTTCAACCTCAGAAACAGATTCTTTCAGTGGAGAGATTGACTTTTGCTGCGATGCAGTTGAGTAACCAATAGTTTCGTTACCACTGACAGAAAACTGAAACATAAATTTGAAATTAAATGGCTTCTGACTGTGGTAGTTTGTAACCAATGGTGAATGATATGAAAACGCTGTCAAACTATTGTGAAAAATAACCAATCAAATAACAGAAAAGCTTTAAGTTGCAACAAATAGGACAAATAGGAAATAGGGTCTTTGCCGAATTTGGACAACTGTTGTTTTTATAGGTATATTAGTTACTTACTATATTTGCAACGGAGATATATTATTGCACTACGGCTCTTTTGGAGATAGCTCCATGGTCGAGTAGGTAGTGTACACTGACTAATCTCATAAAGGGCAGTACTGCTAAACATCTGAATTGTGAAGACAGTAAGTAAATAATACATCTATATATATATTAGGGATGGACAAATCTCAAAATTTTGAGAAATTTTCAGGAAATTTTAAATCTCATTCTACGAGAAGAGATTTTATTTTGATTGAGACTTTTATGAGACGAGATAAAAAAACCATTAAAACGCCTGCAGAAAGTTAATGCAATAGTAATACAGGATGGCATGGTTGTTCCATTTCCTTTGAGAAGGCGTTCTTATTTAATTAATTCTTTACATGTAATATTGCTTTAATTGTTATATAATTTTTTGTTTTGACATCGCAAATGATGAGAAGTTTTGTTAAGTGTAAGCGGTGTGAGACATATTTTAATACAGCCAAAACAAATCACTCCAAAATCATTGTAAAAATATCACAAATTAAAATTTGTTACTTTATACTTAACAAGTAAGACTGGTGTTTTAGAGTAATAAATTTGATATTTTTCAAAGTTCTACTAATGTAATTTAATACTTAACTAGAGTCGGGACCACATAAGTTTGCAGTTGAGGGAGGAGCCTATTTACCATATGGGTTTGAATGAACCAATGAGAACCGTGCGGTGTTGTCAAATCTAATAATACCAGCTGATTTGGAAATATTGCTTAGTATATTTTATTAGTGCGATGTGGCAACGTTGCACTAGCCTTGTCTTGTGATTGGCTGCCACCAACTGCAAACTTACGTGGTCCCGACTTTGATGTTTCAGTCTGATACATTTTGTACTTTTCACAGTTGAACTATATCCTAACGGATATCACCATGTTTCCTATGCAGAAGAGTTATTTTTAATAAGGGGTTGCCTAGTTAATTTTTGTATTTTTACCAAGACGTTTTTTATTAATGTTTTAATTGAGACCAAGTCTCTACCAAAATTAAAAGGAGTAACATATAAAACAAAGCCGGGAAGTCATTAAAACTTAGTAAGAGTTGCAAGCTTTATTTGCTTAACCTTGCATTTGCCCATCCAGACAGCATTGGGACTGTAAGTGAAACGTATCTTGCTATTCAAGCAGTGCTTATTCAAGTAAGAACGTGAGTACAAGAGTGAACTGTATAGATGCAATTTAGTGGCAGGCACCAGGATGCTGACCCACAACATTGCTGTCATGGACTCATATAGTTCATCACACTGCCAACCGAGTCACCGAATAACCAAACTTATCCCTGCAGACCAGGACAGTTGAAGAGCCTCGCTGTATGCGCTATACTCTCTGAGGACAACACGTATGAATCCAAATAATCTTATGTAAGTTCTGCAGTATTCATACAACCAAAAAGAGCAATTTTTAAGAGGAACAAATTTTTAAAATACTGTCATTTAAGGACTTAATTAATTAAAATATATGTAGACTAAGTAGACTCAAACATGACCATACATGATTATTCCTTATTTTCAACTTAACATCATTTTATTTAACTCACAACACATTTTTACTAATCACCCTGAATTGTCACATTTGTTTTAACTTACCTCTGATAGCACGGACATCTGGAAAAATAAATAAATTGTTAATGATAAGTTTGAAAACTGAAATAAAACAAATATAAAGTGTTACTTTTTGACGCAACCCAAATAAACTAACTCATATTATTATGTTGGTGTCTCCCTGCTTTCTTTACTTCATTGCCAATCAGCTAATATGCATTGTTGCATATCTAGGAGGTTAGCTGTTTAAGATTTTGTATTGTAGGTCTACATTCTTTTGTTTTCTACAAATCAGGTTTCCTTAAATTTTAGGATAGGCCTACCTTTTTTAAGAAAAGAAATGTAGAATGACCGAGATCATAGCTTTGTTACTAACCCAGATCAGGTAGTTCTTTATCCAGGATTACTTATTTAACATCCCTCTGATCAAAGACAGGTGGGTAATAACAAAACACAAGTGACTTTTCTTATGATTGAACTAGCAACTCACAACTTTCTGGATACTGGAGAATAGCATAATTTAATCAGAATGTGCCTCCGGGATTGATTAAATGACATAAATATAAGGTTACTGACCTGTCATCAATCAATCCTATTGTTCCAAGTGGATAACTAGTTTTGGGATTTCAACCCCATTTTCAAATCAGATTGGCAGTCTGGTTTTGTCCTTAGCCGGCTTTGCGTATTGTAAATATTGTAAATGTTTCTTCGTGCGAGTTTCTTTGTTATGTATAAAGTATTATTAATTTAACAACGGCAAGTGCTGAGTAATTTATGTTTGAAATATTTATGTTTAGGTTCAGATGGTCCATCTGTTGACTTTAAAATGTATAACAAACAATTTGTTTAGTTAGATTTTATGAATAGAGTACAGTTGGCTTGGATTTCCTAAGCCAAGGGATTTTTCCTTCTAGTATTATTATTGTACACGTCAGAGAGAGTTCTCTAAAGTCTACTCGCCTCATCTGGTTGTTCCTGTGGCTGACCCCAAACAGCTGTTGTGGACAGCTGTTCTGGAACCTCTTCTCCATCTATAATAACACAGACACATCACTACCTTATACTATATTTTTTACTATAAATAGAACTAGATATTCCATTCCTGTGTGTAATTACTGTCAGATTTTAGTAAAAATCAACCTAGTTGAATTCAACCACCACAGAGTGCACGATGTCAATGGCTGACTAACGTAGAATATGCCAACTGTTTAACAAAGTCCAATTGAAAGGACAACTTATTATAATTTAAGAATAGTTGTTGATTATCAATATGAAGACCCAAAAATTTTTCAGTGACAGTACTATTTTCATTATTTGAGTCAGAATTGTGTTTCAACGTAAATTTTATTTCTTGAGATTTACAGTCATTCAATAGAAATCTATTGGCATATCAATACCGTAGTTGTCTGGTTGAGGATTAAATAATCCTTCATAATTATGAACAGTTATATACAACACTTTGAATATTTTTTGTGATCTGTAAGATACCATGATAAAGGGGTTTTACTCACCAGCTGTAAGAGAGCTGTTTACTCCAGATGGTACAGTGCTCAAAAGCGACTCATCTTCAACATCTTCAGACGTGGAGTTAGCAACGGCTTCCGGTGGTAACTTTTCTATCGGAACCTCTTCTACTGCTGACGGTTGAAGGTGGACAAACCTGTGGAGATGAATATTTAATTACCATTTAAAGGGACATTAAAACAAGCAGTTAATTATTAAGACAATTGTAGTTTTCTACTACATTTTTTGTCAGGTTGGACAAGTGGTTAGTGCCCGCCTTCAAATCTGACGGTTACGTTTTTATCTTGAGCATTGATTCTGGACCTAGATGCCATTACTGAATTTGGCTATCAATTAATTATTCTATCTAACAAGAGGTAGAGATTTAGATGGTAAAAAAAACGGGTTTGCGCCATTCTCGTACAGACAAATTTAAAAAGTAAATGTCGATGTAGGGAAAAGTACAATTTAACAAAAAATGTTAACGGGAAATGAACTTATAATGGGGAATGAATTAATAAAGGGCATTATAGCTACAAACTAGGAATAGCTGCCATTGATAATTTAGCTTTTTAATACAATGCTTACAACCACCTAGCAAAGAATCAGCTTATTTTAGTCAATAACAAAGCGACATTATCTAAGTATAAAATTTATGAGGAACCTATCCTGTATCCTGCATTCATAATCATCTTAAAATACACACCTTCACCTGTAAATTTGTGTATCAGTCCAAAATAAAATTTTAAACTCTCAACAGTTATTCATTCAGTTAAAAAAGGGAATGTAACAGAACTTATACAACCCTCATGTTATAAAAACTTATTGATGGGGAAAGTTAAGAAAACAAACAGACAACATAGCAATTTACACATCATGATCACAAAAAACCTAAATCTAATTCTGAATATTTATTTGCAAACATTATCTAAACTCAAGATAAAATGGAAGGATAATTTAACCAATAAGAGTTATTTAGTATTCTAGTTAGATACCATACATATCTACTACCTTCCTTCATGTGATCTCAAAAACTTTTATTTTCAAGGTCTATCTACTGTTCTACTTGTTCCATCCTGGCACAAGAAATACTACACTCAATAGTTAGAATATGCTACTTCATTGTCCCTAACACCACATTCAACCAGAAAGTTTAAGCTTCAAAGTAACTATTTATTGTATACAGTATATGAAATTTGTGAGTTACATATGTGCCAGGATGGACACTTTCCCATCCAAGAATCCCATCACTTAAGCTATTCCAACAAAAATTCAAAATATCTAGTGAACTAATAAATTTTAGTATGTTGATTTGGCTGTTGCAATCTTCATTGTCAATTTGGCTGAATAAATGTGCTATGGAGTCATTGTAACCTTGTTTTAATATATAAGTTAACATGAAATTACCTCAATTTAATTACAGAACTTACCCATCTCGACCTAAACCTCCTCCAAATATCGAGGTGAAATCAGTTTTGTCATTTTTTGTGTAAGCCTCCTCCATGGTAAAATCCTTGGATTGAGATTCACCTCGGAGTATTTCAACCCTGAGAATACCATCCCTTGGCCATGAGTCCCGTACGTGTTCTAAGCACGTTGTTGGTGTCCTTGAAAAGGCTATGTGTATGTAGACGAGAACGAAAAAAGCTGTCATAGCCTGGAACAATAATAAGGTAAGTAGGTATTTGTACAATCCATTGATTAGCCCATTAACACGTTCGCTGCTGACCGTTAGATGCCGGGACGGCGCCAGGAGCTGAACTAACGCTCGCCGCTACGTAAACATTGTTGCCGATACACTGAATTACAGTAAAAACAACAGTAGTTGTACTGGATGGCAATGTTCTGCAATAAAACTGGCTTTGGACATAGTACTAAGTGATTCTGATAGATAGCAGCACTGCCCAGGTTGCAGTCGGTAAATTAGTTTCGCTATCTAGCAGGAAAGAGGTGGGACAAAGCCCTGTTCTAAACGACCCTGGTGGTGATTTTGGGAAACTATATTTTTTATTGTCAGAAAGTACGCCCCCACGAGCTGCAAAGAAATATAGGACGCTCGTGACGAGCTGGCTGATCCATGGTAACATTAAACATCAATGAACGGCGACGTTCCAGAACGTTCCTAGCTCCTGGCGCCGTGGCCCGTTTGACGTTCCGGAACGTCCGTAGCAGCAAACGTGTTAAACACACTCATGAATACATTTCTCAATCTTACAGCATGTTTAGCCATGTTTTAGGTGGGGTTTGGTTTTCAGAATTGCAAAGGAACTAGTAAAAATAAATAAAAATCAAAAAAATTTAATGATAATCTTGAAAGCAAAATCTTTCATCTTCATCAAACACCATCTTTGGAAACACAAGACAAATTTTGGATTTTTTTTTACTAGGCCTATGTTTTGATTTTTTTTAGCTAAAGAATGTGTTGTTTGGACTTGATTACAAGATCAAGACTTTGAAACTTAACTTTCAATTGCAAAAACATCGTTAATTATTTGGATAGGTACACTTTAGGCTAACTAATCCATGACATTGATTAGGTTATGTGGTGAGTGTTAGAGAAATAATATTTCTCAACTGGACTTTATATCACCTGATTTAATGTCAATTGTTAAAGTGAGCAGCATTACAGTAAACCTTCCTTGTATCCAAACATAGACAAAAAGAATTAAATAAAGACTGTCAGCTGTGCTGTGGTTACCATAGGTTCTGGCACACACCGCTGGGAGCCAGAACCTATGGTAACCGCAGCACAGCTGACGGCCTATATTTAATTCTATTTGTACATGACCCAAACCACCACACGGTCCATTCAGAGCCTTTTTTTTTGCGTACTGAACAAACTACTAGTTTTCTTAATCAGAACTCAAGGCCTACAACATTTGAACCATTGAACCATCCACAATTTTTCAACATTGATTATACAGAGAATTTAAAAGGAACAAACGATAAATCTGAACTAATGAGGTTCATAGTAAAGCAAGTTCCAATCTAGGCCTACCGGTAACCTGTGGCCTACCAGAGCTGGGAATCCAAGAAATCTTCAGACTACAGAAACAGATTGACAAATTATCTGAATGATTATCAGGAACAAAGTTAACCTTTATCTTAACTATCTAGATAGCCACCACTTTTTAGCTTGTTTGGATAAAAAGATTGCTCCGAAGATGCAATGCGGCACACAATGAATTATTACAAAGCCAGGATTAGAACTAGAAATCTGAAACTTCCCACAGCACTGCTACTGTATTTTGGGACGACGTGAGTTTGCACTGGTGCTGCTTTGACGGTAGGCGTGGTACTCTCAGTAACTAAGTCACTAGTCAATGTTAAGGTTGAGCACTTGCGCAACTGTTTTAATCGCTGTTTCATTGTTAGTTTTTCTTCCAAAATGTTGGATCCAGATAATCCAAACTTCGTATTTTTAGTGACAGGGAAGGTGTTTAGACGAGTAACTATGATACTGACATTAGTAGTGAGAATGAGATTGATGATGAAGGATATGGTGTTTCAGGATGGCCGTGAGGTACACGGAAACCCCTGTTGCCACGAACGTGTTAACTGACAGTGTGTCTAAGACCGAAAACCTTCCATCAGATACTTTTAGAACCCCTTGATTAGCTGAATCCAAATAAAATCAAATAGCCTATGATTAATTATGATACTTGGGATTGAGTGTAGTGTCACACTTAGGATACAAAAATTAGTTCAGGAACCAACACACAACATAATGGTTTACTCACCTTTAAAAGAACAGTAAACTCTATCCATCTTCTAGCTGGACGGGGAAAGGTCCTTGCATATGCAAGTGCTGCTTTGAAGAACAAAGCGTGGAACAACCGATCTCGAACATTGATAAGTGGATTGGCGTTAGGGTTGTTGTTGTTGTTACGAGTCCGATTATTATTGGTTGCATTGTTTTCTGCAGCTCCTACTCCCCCTCCTAGATCCATCGGCATGGCACGAGTTCACCAATTTTTGAAGAAAAAGCCCCTAGGCATATTCTTGAGGCCTGCAGAGAAAACAGCTGTTTTAAGTAAAATATTCTAAGTAGGCCTACGATATGCCCAATATGGTTAACACAAACTATTTTTCTCTTACCTAACTTACTTGAAAAATCAAAGAGTCAGTCATGGGTCCAAATGTAACTTAGAATCTTTGATTTAAGGGTGTTTTCTAAGTTATAACTTGCATAATTTTAGTTTAATAGCTTAGTTCTTACATTATTTTAGAACAGACATAAACTTAAAAACAATAACTTAATTCATATTTATGATCATGTAGGTTGGCTTTAAATAAACAGGAACAAGAACTGTTCTCTTTTGGCACTTTGCTTTCAATAGTGTAAGACTTAGGCCTACAATGATGTAAGTTAACTCAGTTTATAATAATAATAATAAATGGTCTTTATTCAGCAAGCGTTTTTCAGATATTTACAATTCTGCTTTACAAAACAACTCTTGTCATTAACCTACTTAAACTATAAATAAAAACAATCAATCAAACAATCTAAAAACAATATAAATAATCAATCTTCGAAATTAACTCTGTAGTGATACAATGTAAAAACAATCTATAATAACAATCTATAAAAATAATCTATAAAACAATCTATAAAACAGTCTATCAAATCAATCTATAAAACAATCTTAAAACTATCAAAAAATCAACAATGTACAAGAAACCATAGTTTGTAGAAAAGCATTCAAAACTCACCCAAATATTCTTTTAATCTTTTTTGAATGAGTTAAGAGTGTTGGCCCCCTTTACCTGATTAGGGAGAGCATTAGGCCTATACAAGGCGGGACCGAAGTATGAGAAGGGCGCCTCCCCACCTCATGCCTGACTCTGCGAAAGTGCAACAACTTGTCCTGCCTCGTGCTGCGGGCAGAGACATCTCGACGAGACAGAAGTCTCTCACACAGGTACTCAGGCTGGCCGAGCTCTATAGCTTTATGTATCAGGCTGCAGGTTAGGTACATACAAGTTTTATTTATCTGCATAATTTGCGCAGCGTTTCTGTACGGAGTTATGTGATCTCTTCTTGTACAATTGAAAATAAATTTAGGTGATGAGTTTTGTAGTCGTTGGATTTTATTTAGGTCGCCTTTTGTAATGCTGTTTCCGTAAGCCGCAAGACAATAATCAAAAACAGACAGTACTAGGGCCCTCACAATTTTTATTTTGGCATTTTCAGGTAAAATTGTTTTTAATCTATATAGACCTTGCAGCCGGCCAAGGGCTCGCTGACACATGAGGTTTACATGGTCAGATAGCGTCAGGCCTTCATCAACAATTAATCCAAGCATTTTCAATTTGTTGCATATATTTATGGCCTTTCCATTAATTTCTATCTGTCCGCCATTGCCTTGCTTAATTTCTTGTAAAAAACCTAAGGGTGCAATGTGGAGAACTGAACATTTCTCTTGATTCAGTTTCAATCCATGGCTCTTTGACCAGCCAGAGATCGCATTCAGCTCATCATTAGGCCTAATGGCATCAAAGGCCTTTGTGTAAGAGGCTTTATCATATGATATTCGAATCTGACAATCATCTGCATATAAATGTAAATTGCTAGTTTTCACAACACTTGCAATGTCAGCAGTGTAGATGTTGTAGAATATAGGTCCTAAGCATGTTCCTTGGAGAATTCCTCTTTCTTTTCACAGGGGAGCTGATATTTCATCGATGATTTTTGTTACCTGACTTCTATTTTTGAGGTACGATTCGACCCAATTCACTGCTGACTCATCAAATCCAAAATAGTGTAGTTTTGCTAACAACAATTTGTGAGATATTGAATCAAATGCCTGGGAATAATCCAACATGACTACAGAGCTGCATTTACTAACATTTCAAAGAGATCACTCATCATATTTAAAAGGGAAGTGCAAGTGTTATAGTTTTTCCTGAAACCTGATTGCTGATTCGGTAAAATGTGTTCTGTTTCAATAAATTCAGTAATTTGTTTTACTACAATTTTCTCTAAGATTTTAGATAACGTTGGTAGTATATATATAGGCCTTAGATGATCTACATTCGTCGGGTGTTTAGTCTTGGGCAATGGGCTTACAATACTTTGTTTCCAAGCATCTGGAAATAATCTGGTATTCAGTGACTGATTGATCAAATGGGTGATTGCTTCAAGGCAGAACGGATTCGTTGATTTAATCATGAAAATATCTATGCCATCATTTCCTTTTGCTTTTGAGCTTAGGCCTATACTGTTAATTGCATGTTTTACCTCCAGCTCCGTTACATTGACAAATTTAAATGCTTTAATGGCATTTTTTCTGTTGCCCGCCCCTATAATCCATTGATGATTTGGTGGGATTTGAACCCGGGACCGAAGTCCTGTGCTCTAACCACTACACCCGCTCGTGTGTATAACCATAGCCACCTCTAATACAAGGCCGCGGCAAATGAAAAGCGGCAACGTCGCATCAGTGTCTTGGCGTTCGGTCGTTTTACCATTACAGTGAATGGAGGAGTCGCGTACTCTACGTACATAATCGCGTTTCTACTACCTTTAATCATTAGTAATGACATTAAACTTCTTACTACAGCATGCCAGATAGATGTGATGTGCCTGGATGCAAGAATAATTACGATAGCTCAATTAAAAATTAATAATACATACAGTGTTCTAAGACTACTTGATCCGCCGCGTAAGCAACAATTGCTTTATGCTATTCTTCGATCAAATTAGACATCTTAAACATATTCTCGTTTTGGTGTGAAACATTTTCCACGAATATGAGCTTAGATTAAATTTGTAAAAAAATTTAAGAATAAGACAACGATTCGTGTAAATATAGACGCGAGAAGCAAGTTTTAGGTAGTAATACCGTACGCTTTCCTTATTTATTTGTCTATCTTATTGATAAATGCTGTTGATAAAGTGATTAAAATAACTTAAATAAATACCACTTCAAAGAAATAAGCCGGTTAATGTACACCATCTAACAATAAAGCATCATAGTCTCCGAATCCAGTCTGAATGTTGATGGGATTAAAAAATTCTATTGATATTGTGGAAAGCCATATAGAGGCCTAGCTTCTGAAATTGTTTACAAAATGGCAAACGTTTTTCTTAGTAGTTATTCAAAGAAAATAAATTATTTAGTCAGTATGCCTTCAAAATGAAAACTTCAAATTTTGTTGTCGCTAACTTATGGTTTCCTCAGGTAGACTAAAACATAATATTCCTATTAAAAATTTAAAAGTAATTTTATTTGAACAAATTTTTAGATGTTTGTCTCTACAAATCCCAAAGTCTCTACAAATATTGAAGTGTCAATAAGTTAGTCCTACTGTATAACCATTCTTGGTATAGTAGTTTTATTTTGTAAAATTTAAGCACAGTCTGTCTAGTAGTTTATTACTATGTTGAATAACACACCACACATATATACAGACACCATGAGATTTTTATATAATAGTGTAGATTATCAAATTAACAAAGGAAATATGTAAAAGTCCATCTATTTCCACATTCATCGTACTTACAATACGATAAATGCAACCAAAAACATTATGTTTGTATATTTTTAGTTTATGACATATTGCGGTTTGTTGCAATTTTTCACTAAATAAACAACATAGATTCCAATTTTGTCTATTTTACCATATTTAAAAATCTACTAAAATATGTTATTACGTATTTAAATACTTTCATTCATTGATACAGAGCAGCAATACTCTCATTATGTTCATAGCCTAGCGCGTTTGAAGACGGACGCAGAGGGGGTGTGATTGCGGCGTTGCCAGTTCGAACGTCGCGGCCTTGTATTAGAGGTGGCTGTGGTATAACCCTAACTATACTCTAATACGAGTTAAGTTATGTCTGTTTGTCTGTAATAGCCTAACTTATAATCTTGAAATCCAGCACAAGGATTTACGATTTTGTTTAAAGAATAAACACAATTACCACAACCGAGCAAGGCTCTGTCCCCTGGTAGGCCTACCGATGATATGAATTGGACAGGCCTAGGCTAGTAACTAGTAATTTTGAGGTTAGGCCTGACAGTCATTCATGTCCAACGAAATCAAATTATAGAATAATTTAAGTTTATGCTATTTTTGTTTACTATGTCCATTAGTAGAAGGCCATCTCTTCCAATTTTGAGTGGCAGGAAAACAAAGTGCCAAGAACTCACTCCCATATTCGGTTGAGTAAAATAGGGGTTTGTATTTTGATCTAGATTTTTTTTTGTCACCAGACTGTTATACCCTATCTATGTTTGAAAAATATTATAGGAAATCGTATTATCTAAGATAACAATATGTAATCAAATTACAGTAACGTAGAGCTAAGTAAATTAGGCCTAGGCCTATGGAGTAATGACATCGCTAAAACAGGTTATCTCAATTTTCACCTTAAATTTAAATGAATACATAAAAATTGTAATAAATGTCTTAACTACATTCACTATTGTAATATTTAATAAAAATAAACCTACTTTCTTGAAAGTAGAATTCCAGCGACGGAACTAATGTTTCTTTTAATTCTAAAAATTCAATAACAAGAAGTAAGAAGACAGAAGAAGCAGAACGAATCGAACCTGCAGCTCAGCTGCAGCAACTGCAATCGCAATCCAGTCCAGTCTGCTCAGGTGGCTCAGTCCTGCGCCTGCTGATCAATGTCATACAAATGGTCTTTTGTCAAAGTAGGATGATATGATTCGATATGATTACCTATTATAAGCATTAGTGCCTGTATTTTCATGTAAAACAAATTCCATTGTATCATTTTCTTTGTAACATAATATCAACATAATAGTAAATTGTGAAAACCATTCAATGTACACCAACGATATATAACTCGGTATTCATAGTTGATTTTCACTTTACTGGATTTGTCATTGATTATAATGAACCACGGTGTTGTGGCTAGATCTCATGGTGGAAGGAAAATCAACATAATATTAAATTGTGAAAACCATTAAATGTACACCAACGATATTTCACTTTACTGGATTTGTCATTGATTATAATGAACCATGGTGTTATCCGGCTAGATCCGGCTGAACCATGGTGGAAGGAAAATACATAGGTGTGCTTTCTCGTCATAATCTGACGTCACCCAGATTGCAAACACCATTTTACCATAAAAACAATAACAATCAAATCAAAACAAATATATACTTATATGGCAATACAATCAGGGGATTTTTTGTTTGCAATCTGGGTGACGTCAGCATATGACGGGAATAGCCAAGGCCGAATAGCCCATTGAGATAAATAGATTATATCTCAGTGGAATAGCCACGGCCACTTTTTATTTATTTATTTATTTTGCTTCCAACGGTCCAAACAAACCAATTTACAATTATTTTTACAATCCATATTCAATGTGACTATATCTAAGGCTACGATTATACTAGGACGCTGGGCGTCCGGGATGTTGGCGTCCGAGAGGCTAGAGACCCACTTCGAGCCGAAAATGACGTGTGTTGGGAAGCTAGCCTCTCGGACTGCCTTTTATTTCAATGTTTTGTGTTTTTCGTGTTTAGCTCCATGTCCGGTGGCACTGATTGTATCATCAACAAAATTTTGTTTCTTAGAGTTTGTATAATGATTTATGCTTACTCTTTGGTTATATAACTTGAGGACGCGTTATTGTTTATGATTTGATCGTTGTATTGGTTAAACGGGTTTTTAAATTACCGAAATAACAATAAACAAATTGTAAACGAAACACGAACCATACAGTGCACCGGAAATAACTAACAATAAAATGGACTTTTCAGAAACAAATAATAATGATGGTTGTTGAATAACGTTAGCGTTATTGTTGATGGAAATTGAATAAATTATTCAAATAAGTCTCAGGCTTCTTCATTTTTGGAGTTTCCAAAAGTATCAGTGTCACTTACAATCATAAGACTTATTATTATCAGTTGCTACACGGAAAGGAGAAGTAGTAGTCAATACAACAATATTAGAACTTGGAAACGGTATGGATCTTAAACATAAACAAATTATGTACCCAACCCAAAAGTTAACATGTTTCATTAATATTTCAATGAAACTGTTAAAAAAAAACGTCCAAACCAGCAGTACAGCCTCTAGTATAAACATTCAGGCCAGTGACGTGATATGTTTATGATCCAATACCGTTTATTTGCGTAATACACAGAGGATACGCGTCCGGTAACCAGACGTGGATTAGGCGTCCGGTAACCAGACGTGTGGATTAGGCGTCCGGTAACCAGACGTGTGGATTAGGCGTCCGGTAGGGGGTCCTGGAACGCCATTACCACAATGATACGATGTTCAGCCGTCAGTGTTCGTGGTGTAGTGGATAGAATGCTCGACTGATATGCGAGAGGTCCCCGGTTCAAATCCCGTCTGAATGTAATTTCTTTTTAACTTTACATCTTTTGTTAGAATTTTTGGCATTTATAATTTTATGTTATGAAGAGAATTGAACCTTCATTTGATTTTTTTCACTATCAGCAAGTTTGGTTGGTTAGGTTAGGTTATGACAGTAACTGCCGGACGCCTAATCCACGTCCGGTTACCAGACGCGTATCCTCTGCGTTTCTAATATCCTGTGTTTCATAGTCATAGCATTGACTATTGGCTATTGGGTACTGAAGAAGTAGACTTCCCATCTACATGGACCATCTACAAGGTCACCGGTTCGATCCTGAGAAGTCAGTAGCTTTTTGATGGTTCAAAACTGGACCCTGCTGTTCCTGATCATTGATTGGGCTTTAAATAAAATGATCCTGACTAATGAAACCACTGATCTAGCCAGTAACAAAGCTACACAGGTCATCACACACCATTCTACACTCATCCTTCACTCATATTTGGGTTAAAATATGCACCTAGGTGGCGTCCCCATCTTAATGATTGATTGATTGAAAAATCTGTAGCTAAGTTTTTATCAAACAAAAATGTATAGTTGTGTGAGCCAGTCACAGAATGCTCTAGTGTCTAAAATTCTATTTTATACCTTATTTTTTTTGTTACTGGCCAGGTTGATGGGTCATAACAACTGCTATAACTCATAAGTCATTTCTTAAGTTTGACTTGGTTAAAAAGATTGTGTATTCGGCAGAATTTAGTAATTTAGATCAGCGCAATCTGTAGGTGGTTCACATCAACTACGATAATTTTGGTAAAGCTATTGGAAAAGCTGGCTACAAATTTAACATGGGTATGTAATGTCTGGCTAGTTGGATTGATAGTAAATTGATAGGTCAGTATTAAAGATCTTTTTAAACTAAATCTAGAGATCTACTGGACCGATTTTATTAATTAACGGGTCTTTGAAAAGCTCAATTAATTCATGTATATTTGAAAATAATTATGAATATTTGATATTTTTATGGTTTATCGTAAAAATTAATAACCCCACGGCAGCAAACCTGCAGACTAAGTGAATTTCCATTTACCTGGCTGAATTTCTACTAAAAAAAATATTTCCTAAAATCCTAACAATTGTCATATTTATTTCCTATCTAAATAACATTAATTTTAGTGAGTACTTAGGTTTGCTGCTACAGGGAAGATATTGAGGTGGGTTTTTTTTTATTGAATGTTGATAGCTTAGTATGAAACAAACAAAATTTCCAAATTTGGTTAAAATACATCGATAAACAAGTAAACTACAACAATTGGCTGCCATTTTTTACTGGATTGAGATATAGACCTCTAGTTTGCGTTATTGGTTTTCTTTTACCAGGACCTTCAAAATGAGGGGTCACTTGATGGGTCTTTGTATTTGAAATTTTTGAGTTTTCCCCAAAATCCCCCATTTTGGGATGTACACCAAGTGGCGATTATGCCAAAAAGTACTTCATAACATGCCATAAAGGTGTGCCGAGTTTAGTTTTTCTAGTATGGGCCGTTAAAAAAATAACAGGGGGTCTCCATCAATAAATAAACGGAGTCTGGAAAAAGGGGGTCTCCACACTTTTTACTAACCCTGTATATATATATATAAATTTGAACGGATGGTGTTTTTGGCCTCTGGGGACCTTTAAACAAAAAAATAAATCGGTCCTGGGTCTAGGTCTTATCATGAGAGCTATAAGCTTATTCCCTATAATATAGGGAATAAGCTACACAACAATATTTTTAATTATTTTTTCCATTCACAAAGTCTTAAACTAAACTTTGTCCTTGACTTGTTTCATTTCAGTTTTTAAAATTATAATGTAGGCTACCTAATAATAATGCTATAATACAGGGTGTTTATAAAAGGATCATCAGGTTTTAATGGCATGTAACTCACCCAATTCTTGTCCCACATTAATATTTGAAACATATGCTTCAAAAGCAGGTTTCCAAGTTTTATAATCAACTGTTCAATAATCAGTTTGGTTTTTTTTCTTGGGCTGTTTGCATCATTTTCAAAATACTAGGTGAAACCCGTCGAAATCGACGGTTACTTTCAAAGCTTACTCTAATTCATCTAACTGCGATAAATTGAGTGTATTTATGCATATTTTGAGCATTTAGCATTGTTTAAAGATCAATAAGTGTAAAAACAAAAATGAAATTAATTGCGTTAGTTACCAAATATGGTTGATCATTCAACGAACAAAATATTTCCCATACTTTGGAAGACCTTTAAATAGTATCAAAATCGTATTGGTGGATCTTTTTTAGTTAAAAACTTCCCCGATTTCATCAGTGTAAAGATTAATCTATGATTTTATTTGAGAGAAATATCTGCTTGTTGAGGAGACACGTTCTAACTTGAAAGGGAGGTCCATCCGTCACAGTGTAAGTTTGATTTTTCCTTCGTCACGTCGCATCAGTTCATATCGTACCTACTTCTGTGCCAATGAATTACCCTCTAGTATAGTTTTAAGAAATTGGTTGTAGGGATATCGTACTTCTGTGCCAATGAATTACCCTCTAGTATAGCTTTGAGAAATATCTTTGAGAAATCGCTTGGGTTAATGTTAAAGCTAAAAGACACTTCTGCACTTGTATTATTTTGTATTGTATTACACAATCAAAGATTTTTCCAATGATTGAAAACATGTATGATAATAATCTCACGAACCTTGATCTATCTACAGTAGAATAATATGATAAAATATAGCCAAAAGTGGTGAAAAAGGCAGACACAAACAATAGATATAAGATAGTTCAATAAGAAATAATTGATAAATAAGAGTTACTGTGATAAAAGGATTTTCCACTGATTTCGTAATCGAACGTTATGTTGCAAAATATGACATGATACAGAAGAAAATCCATTTTAAAATCAGAAAATAACTTGCAAATACTTTTTTTGGACAATTCAGTAACTCCCAATAAATGTGTGTTGTTTAAAATAGAATTTTAAAATTAACAGCTGTTTCATTAAAAAGTATTATCCACATGGCCAAAATGTAAACAAATCTGTAGAGGGATCTTTAAAGGCTTCTAAGGGCAGAGCCCTAAGCGAATTTACTTCGTTTTTCTTTTGATAACTCATCTACAGACCAAGAGCTTTCTTTGGACACCTCTATCAAGTTCCTATGCCCAGCCGTTCTCTCAAATTAGTCGAGACAAAGTTTCCAATTAAATATTTAGATTCCCCCATGGGAGAAAACCCAACTTTGATGGAAGATCCTGCCCAAACTAATAAAGATAACAAAAAACTAAAAACACTTTGCAAAACTACAGATCAGGGCCATTGTTTTGACATTTTAATCATCAAAATCGGTCCAAAAATGAGGGAGGAGTTCTGTTTAAAAAATCAGCTTAGCGTATTATATACAGACTGTCCAAAAGTCCCGGACCGGTTTAATATTTTCCAAACTACAATAGATAAATCAATAAGATTTGGTACATCAACACCACACCTAAAAATCTACTTTTTTAAGGAAATATCAATTTTCTGTCACATCATGGGGACGTCCCGCAAGGAGTCAGAAGGAAATCTCAAATAGAAGCATAGGTTGACATGCACATAAAATTAAAGGTCTTTACTAGCAGAATATAATGCCGCAAATTTGAACTCAAACGGACAACCGAGTCAAGAATGACAGTGGTTCAAAGATTCATTTAATTTGCATTGCTATTATACGCTTACTCCTCGGGGGGCACAGCCCTAGGAATCGGAAGAAAATTGTTAACGTAAGCATAGGTCGATATGCACATCAAATTAAAGGTCTTCACTAGTAGATTATAATGCCGTAAATTCAAGCTCAAAAGAACGCCTGAGTAAAAAATGGCAGTCGTTCAAAGATTCAAAATGGCGGATTCAAGAAATCTTTGAACGGCTGCCATTTTTTATTCAGTTATCCGTTTGAGTTTAAATTTGCGGCATTATATTCTGTTAGTAAAGGTCTTTAATTTGATGTGCATATCAACCTATGCTTCTATTTAAGATTTCCTTCTGACTCCTTGCGGGACTTCCCCATGGCATGACAGAAAATTTATAGTTCCTTAAAAAAGTAGATTTTTTAAGTGTGTGTTGATGTACCAAATCTTATTGATTTATCTGTTGTCGTTTAGAAAATATTAAACCGGTCCGGGACTTTTGGGACAGTCTGTATATAGATTTCAATTCAAGAAAAAACATTTTGTGTTTTTTATTAAGACTCAAGTTTATCTTTAATAACTGTCCAAGGTGAGTTTTGAAAGCATTTTAGACAGACTCCTTCTACATACCAAATCATTTAAAGGAAGTATCACTTGTTTGAGAACTCTGCCTTATCCTCCTCCTTAATATCTATGTTCGTAAATTAAATAAATGAGAGGCTACTTCAGAGGTGGATTGGCAGATGTAACATAATGACATGACACTTCTCAAATGGCTCTCTAGATCTCCTACTGTGTTTAATCTTTTTGAGCTATCCTTTTTGTTGATATATGTTTATATACGTATTTGTTTAACATTAACGTCAATATATAGTTTTAAAACCTTATGATTCTTTTATAAACTCCCTGTATTATACACTTTTAGCGAATTTCCCATATAGGGAATAAGCTATTACCCTACTCATGGTAATAGCTTATTAGCTATTAGGTGCTTATGCTTATTAGGTGGTAGTACTCATGGTAAGACCTGGACCCGGGACCGATTTACTATTTCATTTTGAGGTCCCTATATAAGAGGCCAAAAACACCATCCATTCAGATTCACATGTATATAAATATATATTTACATGAGTGTGTGTGTCCGTTAGCACGATAACTTGAGCAAAAATGATCCGATTTTGATGAAATTTTGTATAATTGTGTAAACCAACATTTATTCTAACGAGTTCCCGAACCAGCATGATCGGACTATGGGGGGTTTTATGGGGTGAAAATTGGGTTTTACCATTTTTGCCCGAAAAAACATAAAATTTTGCAATTTCTTTCCAAAACATTTTGTAGAGCTTTATAAAACAAATAATTTGGTATATTGAAGCTGTATTATGTGCCTAATGGTTACAAAGAAAATTCCAAAAAATTGTAAACTTAGAATTCCCATATGTTATTCTTATGGAGAATAAGTATTAACATATTTTGATCACATTTGGAAAATGCATTCATATCTTACTAAACTATTAACAAGATATACCATTTATTATCCGCTGCAAGTAAATATAACACACGCTTTCAAATTAACCTTTCCTAGACATAATTTAGAATTCTACACCAAAAAACCTTCATATACAGGATTAAAATTTCTTCAAAAATTAACTGTTTCACTTAAAAAAGAAAATAATACAAACAGATTCAAAAGCCTTCTAAAAGACTTATTGATAAGAAATCCATTTTATTCTATCAAAGAATTTTTAAATTGTAATCTCGAAACGTTCGTTTGAATTCCAGATACTACCTAGTTTTACTCTGACATAATCGATTTTGTGATTTGTAAAAGTAAAAGCAATAGCACTCATCAATTTTAGTTTTACTATAGATCCTTTGTAATGAATGACTTTAATTATTTAGTTTATAGTTTTTTGCTTATGTTAGTTTAATTACGCTATTTAAGACATATTGTCTAAACTTGAATAAAGAATATTTAATTGATTGAAAATTTGAAAAAAAAACACTTTTTTAACCTCCCTGTTGCAGCAAACCTAAGTACTCGTTAAACATTTATATTTAAATAGTGAATAAATGTGATATTTTTACGGAGACATTAATTTAGTGTAATTATCCAACCAGGCTAATGGAAATACCCTTAGTCTGCAGGTTTGCTGGGGCATTATGAAATTTAGCATACTCCTTTGAAGAAGCATCCACTTAATAGACGTTTACAACAATGTAGAACCAATCAGTGATATTTCATTGTTGAATCAATTTTATCATATTGACAGAATGGATAAGATAACAGTCATAACACAAATGTGCTATGCTAATGCTACCCAGTTTTTACCACTGCTAGTTCCAAGGCCAAGAGTCAAGCCAGTGCTGCTGTAGTGGCACTGGCACTTTTCATTGCCACTTACTTGAAGACTTTGTTTTGTGATTAACCTTTATATGGCCGGACATACACTTTATCAATCCATTTCTGGATTTGCAGGTTATAATATAATCATTAATTTTAATCAGACGTAGTTTAAGTGCAGTTCAGAATGTTTTAGACACAATCTACAGTAATAAAATTACCTAAGTTAGTTTAGAGAAAAAAATTAATTTCCTCTCAGCTAAACTTATAAAATGTTATTTTGGTTATTGTTTCTCTTTATTAAGTTTAAGCATAGATTATAGCACAAGCTCCCTGATTTAAGTCTTTGGTAGTAAATTAATCAACTTTATTCCTAAAATTATAACAAAAGGGTTTCCTCACAGATTTTTTTACTTGGTGTAAGTTTTCATGGTTTACATTTAGAGGTTATTTTTATTTGTAAACAGTGTCCTATTTAAATTAACCCAACTTTGGACTTAAACATAATCATTCTGAAATGTAAAGAACGTTGAAAGGTAGGTTTCATCAATATGTGATATTAATTTATTAAACTTGCCACATAAAATGCTGGCTTATGTACAGAAAATTTCTCTTCCAGATAATACACCAGGTCACACTTAATACACTACGTGATGTATTAAAATTATATAAGCTATAATTAAGCTACTTTAATTAATTCAAGACAGTAAATTTATAGAATAAAAGATATTTCATTGGTTACAACCAGTCTCACTGTAACTGGTAATCATATCTAGGCCTAATTCTAGGTATAATATTATTATAGTAAAATGAGCCGAGTTAATACCTGCTGGCCGCTGAGAGTAAACTTATCTGTTAGGTAACTTACGTACTGGTTTAATCATTGTTGAATCGTTCATTTATTAATTGGTTCCTGTATTTATATTTTTCTATACTGTAACTTTTGGAAGAGGTTATTTTGTGAACAGAACTCCTTGGAGAAATTTCTATAGAGATAAAATAGGCTAGTTAATCAATAAGCCCAATGTTTATAAAGAGCTTTTCTAACAGTTATGAGTAGGTAGGGATAAATCTTTAATGAATTTAGTCTCATAAACTTGCCTAACTTAATCTTAATGAACTCAAAATGAAACTCATTTAAATTGAATTCCCTCCTCATATTTGGCATTTAACAGATTTCAAGCAACGGTTACACTAGTAGTGCTTAATAATTTACTGTATTTAGCAAAAGAAGATTGGAAATTTTTTTAGAAAAGGGTTTTTTTCTAGCTGGACTAACTGTTTTGACTGTTGGCTGTACGGTGGGATGGACCACGGTTGCGTTGAAAAAGCTGCGTTCCAATGGTAGTGAGATTCCCATCTCCAGTTCGCAAGGATCTTGGATAGCCTCCTGTCACGAGCTAGGACACATCATCAGTCCAATACCTGCTGGTTACATCTTAGGAAAGATTGGACCGAAGAAATGTATGCTTATATCAACAATTATAGTGACAATCGGTTGGATCCTAATAATCACTACTCGTTCTGTACCAGTATTGTACCTCGTCAGATTCCTATTTGGCATTTCAATGGGGACAGTATTTACCGTCGTACCTCTGTACATAGCCGAAATATCAAACCCTGAGGTCAGAGGTGCTTTGAGTACCGGGTTTGAAACAATGTTGTACCTCGGACATGTTATAGAGTTTGCAATAGGCCCATATGTTTCCTATAACACTCTAGCTCTAACATCAATTACAATACCTGTTGGATTTTTAATCCTCTCATTTTGGATGGTAGACTCGCCCTACTTTTTATTAAAGGAAGGCCGATATTTAGAAGCTAGACAAACATATTCTAAATTATCAGGGATTAATGATGATCAAGAGATCATCAATCATTTGGCCGGTATGGAAGAACATTTTGAGAACGGTAAAAAAAGTAGTTTGAAAGATCTGTTTGGAAGCCGTGTTTATTTTCGGTCGCTTTTAATTGTTTTGGTTCTCGCAGTTGTTCAAAGGTTTAGTGGAATGTCTGCTGTAGTTGCTTACGCCTCTTTCATCTTCCCAACGACAATTGGAGGATTGTCGTCTAGTGAATACACGATATTGTTTGGTGTTATTACACTCCTTTTTACCTTTGTATCTGCAGCGTTGATGGACAGAGCCGGAAGAAGGATTTTAACGATAACTTCATGTTTTGGAAGTTTCATTGTTGAGTTTTTAACAGCATTATACTTTTTTTTGGATCAACAATCTTTAGTTGATACTTCCCATGTTACTTGGTTGCCGTTCCTAACTATTTCAATGTACGCTGGTTTCTACTCGGTAGGAATGGGGCCAGTAGTAACTACGATACAGGGAGAATTATTTCCACCGAATGTAAAAGGGCTGGCATCATCAATAGTCGCGATAGTACATGGTGCTTCGTCCAGTTTAGTAACTAAGAGTTACCAGATAGTTACTGATTCTTTTGGGGTTTATGTTAGTTTTTGGCTTTTCTCAATAAACTGCTTGCTGGGGTCAATTTTTGCATATTTTATAATGCCCGAGACAAAAGGGAAAACCCTCTTAGAGCTGCACAGCAGATTGTAATATTGTGTGGTTTTTTTATTTTGGTATTAACAACTAATTAAATTCTGAGTTTTTTCAAAGGACTACCCACATATTTTAGAGTTTCAAAGGTTGAAGGATTGGCGTTTTGATTTTTATTGATGCGTGGTTTTGAAGTTCAGCATTATGAGTAATATATATAACTTTGAGTTATGAAAACCAAACTTCTAAGACAGACCTTAACTATACTGTTTTACATTTTAATTTTGCTCAAATAAATCTAAAAGATCAATCAATACAAGAATACCTTTTTATTATCTGACAACTAAAATCATAAATTCTGTTGTACTTATTCAAATAATTATGGCTCTTATAATAAAAAAAGGGGCAGACAAGCCTAATGTGAAGGCTTAATTAATTGTAAATTTGATATATTTATTATTTAGCATTGAAGTCCTTTTAGGAAATTTGTGTATTACCTTTATATCTGTGATAAAAACATATTTCTTACAACATTGATTAACATCCCAATTTACGATGTATTTGCTATTACGTTTACTACAAGTATAGAGTCTTTAATCTCCTACCTTACTGAAATGCATATGTACGTTGTAAATTCACAAGCTATGTAGATATTGGCAATCGATTTGAGGCGGAGTGCATTAGGTGATGTTTCCCACATTATATGGATGCTATTCATAAATATTTCAATTACACTGGTTTTATACAGGGGTTTTTGCTTAGTTTTGTACTATGACTGTCTGTAATTATTCTAATGATAGCTAGAAAATCTATGGAGGATCTATCTCTATATGGAGGCAAAAGGTGTTAAATAAAATGTTACATTAAGTTCAAAACTTAAATAGTCAAGAGATTTGGGAGCCACAGTAGGACAACTACACGTAGTAGAACTAAAATGCAAATTTACAGTTAATATTTTACAATTTTCTCAAAGTTTAATTTTGATTGTGGCTCAGTGAACAAAATGTTTCATCTCATCTCTTTGCTGTGAGTACAATCGCAAATCAAACTAGGTTTCTCCACTTTTGAGATTTTTCAGAGGTAAGTTTAACCATACTAGGCCTACAAATTATGTATGACATTTTCACATCTTCTGATCTTGTCTCTGTCAGTTTAGGTAGGATAATTATTACTTTACACAAATAAGTGATCAAAATGCAGGGTTTGTTTTTAAGTCATAGACTGTGTATATAATAATTTAACAACCAACTTGTAAATGTCATATATAAAACATTGTTGGACATATTTTGTATAAAATTACTCATTGTGATATTGTGATTCATAAAATTTCATAAAACTTCTGTTAAACTAAGCAGTTATTTTTTTTTTTAATCCAAGTTGTTCTTTTTTTTAAGTAAGCCGGGTTTACACGGGTCAACTTGAGTTGAGCAATTGGAGTGAAATCAACTACTAGAAAAAAACTACTTCCAAAACATATCTGAAGATTGCAATATTATCCAATTTTGTGTACAAGCTATTGCAGGAAGCCACATTTTATCAAGAATTCTCAAATTCGCAAGAAAAAGTTCAACAATCAACTTGAAACAAAAATATCAAAGTAATTCAATCTGAGTTGACTGAGAACTTGAGTTGATCAACTTTCTTTCAACTAGTGTTTACACGCTTCAATTTGCTTTCAACTTGAAACAGGCTGTTCATCTCAAGTTGACCCGTTTAAACCCCACTTAAAGGCCATTCTGTACAGGCATTTCGCACACCATCTAAGATTACAAATGTTGGTTACATGGTCCATTTAGCCTCAATGAAACATAATATTATTCTATGGACTAGAAATAAAATAATAAAGAAGGATCCTGGAAAATAGTATTGTAAGATAGTCCTAACTCTCTGTACAAACTATGACCAAATCAATTTTAATGTATTAATTTATTTTCAGTCTACGTAATAGACAAGATAAAAATTGTCCCAATTTGTTATAAGACTAATATCAATTCAATTTGGAATATATTGGTTCATATACCTAAACAACCTAAGTTTGATATTAACTAGGCTATCTTCATATCTTGTGCCCACACAACACATCCATGTGACCTGTCGTCTTTGATACCTATTTTTATTGCTTCCAAAACATTGACTACTAAGCATAGTCTTATCTTAAGGTCATACATTTAGAGCTTTGGCAAGGAAAATTCTTTTTAGTAAAATATTTTTTATTCATAACTCCCAAATACAAAACGTTTCTATTTACACTTTTACTTTAAAATAATCAAACATCATTTAACTTCAGGGACTTAATATAATACTGTAACCAAAAGCCCCAAAAAACCTAAGGTTTGAAGGGCACCGTGTAAAACTTAAAACAATTTGAATTCCATATTGAATACAAGCTGGAAAGGATTCAATTATTTTAACTATATCAACAATCACAGTAAAACATCACTAACTAGACAATTTGTGGACCCAGAGGTTCTCGAGATTGGGGTTGTCGAGTTATCCAGAACATTGACATTTTTTATGGGTTTTAATAAATGAATAATAAATTAATGTTTAACACAACATGCTAATTTTACATGAATGAGTATTTTTAGATATTGAGTAAAAGTCTTCAAATAATTTTTTCAAATTTATCATATTTATAATTAATTTATAATTTTCAAATAAATTCAAATGTTAAATATTCAACAATTCGGCTTCAACTAAAAGTTCTGAAAATTTTCCTTTTTTTGTGCTGTCAACTGTGGAGTTACCAGGTGTCTTGAGTTAATGAGAGTTTACTGTACTTTTAAAATACATGCTTAGATGGAAAAAAGCTTATAAATAGTCAGAAAAGAGCATTGCTATTGGCAGATCACTTTTGTATTATTAAAACTACATTTTTATTTTGAATAGGTAGATATGTTTTTGTATTTATTATACACATAGTAGTAAAAATTTTTAATTAATTTTGCATTGACATCTCGTCCAGTAATCAGGAATAACTTATATAAAGTAGTATTTTAATGGCACATTATGTTCATTGTTTCAAACGCAAAAATATGAATAAGCTCACTAGCTATTTACTTACTCACTATTTCTTTTACTTAGCCGCCAAATATAAAATTTATATTCCAACAACTTTACAATAAAAAGTTTATGTAGTTTTTACTAGAACCGACACAATTAATATATTTGAGGTTAGTTGAAAACCCAATTTAAAATGCCCTTTGCCAAATGTTTAAAAGCTTGCTTAGGAAAACTTTTACAATCAACTAGGAGACTAATTTAAACTGAGGTTAAGATATAATAAATGGAGATTTTATCCACACAAAAAATTTCTAAATGCAATTGCAAGTATGATATCTGTAAATTTCAACCTACAGATCAAAATTGATAAATCTAAAATAACTAAGTGTACTAAAACAACGCTTATTTCTAACACCCTTTCTCACACTTCACATTTTCTTCATTGTAGCCAAAAGCATGTTTGTTAGGTTTTGAAGTAGAAGCATACTGACGTACAATAAATTGTTGGCGTAAATATTTACATTATCATGCTCTCTTCATCATCGTCCCGTTCAACGTAACTGAACGCAAACCTTGCACACTGCCGCTGTGGCCGTGTCGATGTTATCGTCATGTGATGATGTTGTTCCTCCTCAGCGTCTTTGAGAACACCAGTGAAATCGATTCTGTGGGAGAATCCAGAATGTTAAAGTAAATTTTAGCAATCACTATTTTCTTCAGTAAGAACTAGTTACATATGGGAATTGTCATACCTTCGACTATTCAATTTAACCGGTATTCCAACCCATGTCAAGGTTGTCACAAGTTTTGTTTAAACTGATGTGGTTGAATTTAGTTAGTTGGAAGACTATTGCAGGGTATAGCATTTTATATATATAATATCATCTTTCCAGTATCAAAAACTATGGGGGAAAACATTTTAGGATTTAGTGAACTCTGTGAAGTGGCTCATTAAACTACTGTATGTTATTTTTGAATAAAAAGTCATCTAAATTTAGTCCATATAAAGAGGATGTCTACTACATTACTCTACCCAAAAGTCCCTACTTAAATATTACAGATTATAATTTTAGCTGACAGATTCACACTTATTATTTCACTTTAAACTAAAATAACTACAGTTAGAACTTTAACAAATTATTGTAACACAGTTGTGCTTGGCTCAATCTGTTTCCTTTGTTCAGAGATAGACCTGACAGATGATTTAGAGACAATGATTGGTTAGAATTGTAAAAGGCAAGCATTAGTTTTACTAAGGAGTTTACTTTTGTTTGAATGGTACAAAATATAGAGAAACAGGTCCTCCAAATCTTACCTCGGCATTGGACCTCTCCTTCGCTTCTTAGTAGGCTTGGTGCTGTCTTCCAACAACGGAGGCAAATGTCTGAAAAAGAGTAGAAATATAATAACTAGGTATCTTTATTTTAATATTTGAATGTATTCAAATCAAGGATACTTTGTATAAATCGTCTTGACAATTTTACAGCAGTACACAGTTCAAACCACTCTTGATCCAACATAAATTGAAACTGCTTTCTTATACACTGTTTTAAATGGGCTTTTCTGTCAATGCTATCAATATGCTATGCCTATATCTTTTAATTTGATATGTCTAGTACACAAAGACTTAAGTAATAAATAACTAGTGTAAATCTAAGATGGAAACTAAAAGCCTGTATTTGAGTACCTACGAAGTTGACTACTTAAATATATTTAGATTCAGCAAAAAAAGATGCTTACCCCATACTGAACTCTTGGTCAGAAGCGTCATCAATTTCGTCGACTTCATCTTCTAGAAAAAAAATTACCACAAAAATAAAATTGTGCTTTTTCAAATACAAAGACAAAAAAACTAATTTTACTATCACAACTAATCTTTGGATTGGGTTTTATTTTAAATATAAGGTAACCAATCCTCAGAGCAAAAGTATTTTATAATAAATAGGTTATAAAATAATGAGAATACAAGACTGATTGCTCTAGGGAAGATTTTATTTGTGACAAAAGTCTCAAACCCATTGTTGTGATAACTATAATTAAGTGCTTTGTGGCAATATACACCACGAACAAAAGAAACGTTACTGTAAAAGCGGTGACACTAATCATGCTACTTACCAGCTTCCTTCTTCTTCCTGTAATATGCTCGCTTGGACGTCACCAGAGGTTGGTCAGTCTCCCCATGGACAAGACTGTTCCTGTACATCAGCAGGGGTTGCCAATCCTCCCCTCGGCTGGATGGCATCCCAGCAGCAACTCTACGATCTAGGTAGTTCAACCTGCGAAATGCACTGCACATTAGAACCCTTCCCCACCACCATCGCTTTGTTATTCCGTAGTCTCTCAAAAATATCTGTTAGATCAAATTTAATATACCTATCCAGAGTAGAGAAAGAGTTGTGGGAGAAGTTACCTTACATTCAATTTTCAATGACATGATTTATACTTGACCCGTTATAAGATGTTGGTGGATTGATGCAAGCGATGGATGCAGTTTGCACTTAGGTGGGTAAATGTAACTACTAGACATGTAAATGATTAAAGACATTCGGATTTATAGGAGAAATATAATTGATTGGTATATGTAGGCTTCAGCCCAACTTTGATGTCTGTTTATCAAGGACTTGTTAGGTGTAACCGCATGAACATACAATATCCAACACAATCTTGTCTTTCCTGTACACTCTCTAACTTCCTACTATGATTTTATTGTTTAGGGCTGATGAACAACTATGTGACCCATACATGGTTCTTATTCCTTGCTCATGGATTGAAAGTATTAATAATTAGAACTATTAAATGGCTTTAGTAGAGTTCCAATCCAACACAGAGTATTTCTGTTCCACCTAAGAAATCTATTATATAGCATGGTTCAATTTGACCTAAGCTTCAACATCCAAAGTGAAAGCTAACTTTTGACTCCAAACTGTTCAGTACAGTCCCCGTTTTTAGTGATGGCAGATTGTTAAGAGTTAGGAGGCCATGGAAGTAAGTAAGAAATCTTTCCCATTAGATTTCCTAGATAAAAGTACCTTACTTCTTGGGAGCTCCGAGCCTCCTGATCACTACATTGTCACAAAGCTAAAAGCCGTGGCATTGACATGATTATAACCCACAGAACAATTATCACATTCCAACCACGAGATCGGCTAAGCTCCCTATATTATTGCAATAGATGCACTATCAGCTTTTACTTACACAATCCGCTTGTCCTGTTTGAGCAGCTTGTTGGTAAACTCTGTAAGGATCTCCAAGAATGCCAAGTTAGGAGGAGGTCCGGTAGGATCTTCCACATAATCAGCTCTCTCGACAGCAAACAGGATACCTTCCCTGTGAAGGGCCGTGATGGCCTCTCTGTTCTTGATGGCGTCCAAGCCAAAGGAAAGAGCAAATCTCTTGGCCAGTTCCTGCAGAGAAAGTAAACCGATTTATTATAACAAGCTATTTATTTCAATGCTTGTTTTTAAATTGTCATTTTATAATGATTTTGGTTGTGTTGCGTGATTCTCTTTCACTGCTGACAAAACAAGACTCGCCATTCTAAAAAAATGTCAAAAAGTAATTTAATAGGAAAAATATTAAACAATGCTATTTTAATTAATAAAAAGCTGGTACTCCAGCCCCATCTTCAAATTCCCTAAGGGTCCTCCACTTCTTTCTTGTCCTCCTTAGACACATGCTGCTGGCCCTTCATGTATATAATGACTCACCATACTTCATTACATATTCTTAAATTTGACCCCATTCATGGGTGGAAAGAAACTAGGAACATTACAAGATTAGTAGACAAAGCTGGAGTATTCTATCAATTATGGGAAATGTGCACAATAGTTATTTAAACAACATAACCGTACCATCACCACCATTGAACTAAAAACGAGTTAATTTTGATTTTTTCCAATTTATTGGACGTAACATCTTTCTGGTTTTTAATGTTAAGTTTATTTTGTGGATCTAATAAGCAATTGATCAATTTGTTTACTGTCATACCTTGAGGCAACTGAACTCCTCTATCTGGCGGTTGATACGAAGGTGGCCGAGTTCTTTATGCATTTCTCTGAACAGCGAGATCAGAGATGTAAGCATTGTTCTTGCACAGTTAGTCTTGTTTATCTCTCTAGCTTTGCCCAGGGTTGTTTTGATGATATCTCCATAGTCCATGTACGACTGAAACAAACATATCAGATGAGTTAAAATAACGTTAATTTGTGTGGAATAAATGAATCACAAACATTTTTAAGCGAAAAAAGTGCCAACCCATAAAATTTTCAGAAATATGAATGTTGTATCCTGATTGCTAATACTCTCCAATATTTATTTTAAAAACATTTTTTGTGATTTTACGATTTGCTTGTGTTTTTTCTCTTTCACTAACTGTGGTAGTGTGAAAAGAGTGATCAGAAAACAATCATTACAAAAGAAGATGTTTCGGCAGATAAGATCTCTTTCTCTTGACATAAATTCAGTCAATTGGTAAAAATACATATTTTACGATCCATGATTTGTCATTAATGTTTCATAATTTTAAAAAATTAATATATTCTTTTATTTGATTTTCTATTGTGTTTTCCAACATTGAAAGGCAATAAGTGGGAGTAAGTTATTAGGAAATATAGAACATCAGTGGTTTGGGTTTCTCCCTCATTTTTACTCATAGCTTAAAGATTTCCAAACAACGCCCAAATAAATATGTCATAAGCTCCACTAGTCCAACATTGCTAATGTTATGTAAACAATTGTTGAAAGTTGGTTGCAAAATAAATTGTTACTGTAGGCCTGCTTAAAAATCTCCTTAAGGAAAGTTTGAATCTTGCATTACAGTAGACTCCCTCTTATCCAGACACCTTTTAACCGGACTAAACTCGGCGGAAATGACATCTCTTTAACCGGACAATATTTATCAGCACATCGGTTTAACCAGACTAAATCGGCAGGAAGTGGGTTCATAACATTACTGAAACGAGTGTTCTTGGGGGAAATATTTGAGACCAGTGATCACTTGTCTAAATACAATGCTCTCATAAATTTAAGTCAAATACTGTATACAGTATGCATGTAAACGGTCCGTTTTAAGGAATTTTTGCGGACGTCGGTTTAACCGGAAAAACCGTTATCCGGACTGGTCTCGGTCCTGGGGAGTCTACTGTAATGTGGATCTACAGCAACTTGATGTTATGTGTGTGTGCAGTTAACTTGTGTATTGCTGGCTAAGCATGTTGAACATACCTTGACGTAGTGTTTGAACACATCAGCCGCGCAGGAAGTGGGCATGATGCTGTACACTATAAGTTTGCAGTAGGACGCCAGGAAGTTGCGTCTTTTATGAAGCTCCTCGATCTTAGAATGTTCATCTTGTTCATCTAAACAAAACAATGTCCACAAGCTAGAGAAATTAGCTGGTAAAACACAGTAGAAAAAGTAATTCCATTGGGATTACAGGCTTATAATTTGGTAAATAAAGATTATGAAGGAAGTTTATGAGTAAAAACTGAGTAGACATTGCATATAAAAAAAATCATTTAATCGCAAAGGTCTAATTTATAGTTTAAAAAAGGTTATTCCTTCTGAAATCCAGAGGTTATGTAATTCATAGATAAATAAATTCTTGTGCAACAGAGTAATAAGTTGGTACATACAGCAAAGATATATTTTCAGTGTTGTTTAAGCGTTAGCAAAGTTTGAGTTCATTAATTTCAATGTTAAAAATAAAAATATTGTTTTTTGTCATACTGCAGCAAAAACAGCAGTTTTTTATAAGTGCGTTGCGGGGTTTTTTATAAAGTAGCAATTTAATTATACTCGCTAGGGAGTAAAAATCAGCTGTTGTAAACAGATGTAGGCCTAAATTGCAACTATAGTAATCACATTGATCAAAATTATTTATTGATTGATTTATTAGGTTTGTTTTTAGATTATTGTTGCATTATTCTCAATGGTTCGACATATCGATAGTATAATGTACATTAATACAATCAATCATAATAGACAAAATGATTTAATCACTTACTAAACAGCTGCTTATTTACTTTTACAGAATTGAAAACAAGCTGCAAGACATTTTGAGAGGTTATCTTTAGATATTTTCGTTTTCTAGTATAGTTTGTTAATTAATGATACAATATGACGAAAAATATAGTTCATCACGCAGGCAAAAAGTGAACTGATCGTAAAACTTAAGCTCAGGTCAAAAAGAGTCACTTTACACCCTAGTGATGAAATATAATTTACACGGGGAGAGGACAAATAAAATATTGACGTGATAAAATAGTCATTAAAAAGCCTTATTATAAAATATAAATTGTAAGAAATAAATTGTGTTTAACAAGTTGAATAACCCTTAATAATATACAGAATTTTAACCAAAACGTCTTATTAAATGTAATTTACTATTGGTTAAATGCAGAAGAAAATTAAATGTTATGGTTATTAGCTATCAATTCATAATATGAAAAAAATTTCACATAAATTTTTTCTGAGCCGCCAGTAAGCCAAAGACATACTGAGAATCCTCAGTTCATGTTTATATACAGAGTATAAATTATTGTGGAAAGTGAAAGTTAATACAGTGATAGTTCACGTAATTTACTCTATAAATGTATGCAGGTAAAAAGAAAAAATTCAATTTTTTGATAAAAATTTATAAAAACTTGGGGATAATTTTTTTCTAAAACAAATTTTAACACAAAGTCAAAAGCTACATTCCTACTCCCCAAATCATCACTTTCTCATCAAAAAGTTTGATAACAAATTATTGGTCTATATCCAAAAATGATCTTGTAAGAATTTAACAAAAAATCAAGAATAAAATATCAAATTTCTACTTGTTTAGTAGCCTACCAAAATAAAAAGCAGAACTTCAGTACATGGCAATCAAACAATAGAAATCTACACAATATCATGGACACGGTTTTTTTGGCAGTTATAGAGTTATTACGAGAGCTGAATATATCAGTGTATAGGCTACATTATAAAACCGATTGTGCTGTTTCAACTTGTATTATCTAAATCTTCACTTATTAAGAAACAACTATAAAAATGTTAGGAAAAGCTTGAGCTCAACTGCCTCAGCTAAAATTCCATTTTTCTTTACAATACCAATGTTTGAACTGTAACAGAAAACATTCAGATTTTCCAAAACCCTGTGATGCAAAAGGTGTCATCAATATTTGTAGTCAGAAAGAGCCAGGTGGCCCTAACTACGCCTGATTTCTTGCTGTCAATGTCTCAACTCACAATCACTCACTACAATGCTGTGATCGTCTTCCATAATCAGGTAACATCGTATTTAATCTTCCTGGATAGGCATCCACGGTAACTTATTCTAGAATCATGGTCTTCTGGTAACGACCGTTTAAAATTCAACGAATCACTACTCTCACTCTCTAAGATGATTCGTTGATGACACGGTCGTAACCAGAAGACCACGATTCCAGAACATTGTATTTAATTATTACAATTACAGTGACATCGTGATTGTCTTAAGCCCTTCTACCATCACGTGCAACATTCATTAATATCTCCAACTACTGTGTTCTTCTTATTACACAATGACATTAAAAATAAAAGTGAACCAACACATTGCCATTAATGAATGTACACTCAACAATAAGCAATTAGAAATTGTTGAAAAATTTTCTGGTTCAAAAAAAATTCACCAAACCACAGACTTGGTTAAAAACCAAAATTCACTTACGATTCCTGGTTTTCAGGACAACCTGGTTTGTATTCCAGAACACGTAGCTTTGTTTTTAATTCATATACAGTTTAATTAATTCCCCCAATACGTGGTTTGTATCAACTAGATGTTCACATGGGCAGGACTCCTGTCAGAGAGAGAGAGATAGAAAGTAAAAATGAAACCCAACAGGAAGTAAAATCCATGTTTAATCCCCTGAGCTGTGATATAATTAAAAATAGGTATTCACCTTTGTCTACAGCTCAAACTGTTGTAACTTGCATTATATGCAGTTTTACGGCATTATAGTGTTGTGTGTTTTGAATATGACGACGCTACTTCAGCTGAATGTTCCACGTCTGATGGTGGCATTATAATGCCGAAAGCCCGTGACTCAAGTTACAACAGTTTAAGTTGTAGACAAAGGTAAATATTCTTACTAATATTATAAATGTGAAAGTTTGTGTGTTTGTTTGAAGTTTGATCACACATTAAATACTGGTTGGATTGGGCTAACATTTGGCATGATGATAGCTCACATTCCCGATTACCACAAAGGCCTATTCTTATCTCAAAAATCCTTTCGGACCGCTAAATTGATATAAACCCGCATAATTGATTGATGTTTTAAAATGATTCTGTTGGTGCCATTTATCAAAATTGTGGACCCTTAGTTATTTATGAGTTTTTAAGTTCACAAGGATACCAATAGAAGCAACAAATGTATCCTTTACAATATAAACATAAACCATCACAATGAAACACTTAACATTTTAATTTACATATTTAAAACTTATTTTGGCCTGATAATACAGGAGGTTGGTACGTTGGTTATGTATTGTGAATGACGTATATGAATACATCACATGAATCACACTTATTATTAAGTCTTTTAATCATACTTTTGTTATCATTTACGCTATCCAATTCACTTGCAAAAACACCGGGTTGAATTATTAGGTTCAATTTATTAGATGATTTTACAAAAGGAGATGCTTTGGTCGAACTTCCTGCTCTTTTTCAAAATGGCTACAATAAATAATTTGAAGTCGGCAGAGCATTTTGTGATAGAAAAGAGCTAATTAAGAAATGCATTCTGATCCTTTCCTGAACTACAAATGTTTACACTAGGTTCCTAAGTTAAATATCTTAAGATATGAATTGACACCAAGTAAAGTAAAACTATTCTCTTGACTGAATGGCAACGTACATTATTCCAATAACGTTGTCAACAACTTCGATGAATGTTCACTTCTGAAGAAATTCCAAAAAGATTTAGTTGCACTGGAGAAACAGTACCCAAATTATAATTTGATGTGCCTTAACTTTGGTAATGTACAGCTCGTGACATCTAAGCTGGCACTTGGCCAATCGCTACTAGTACCTATTTCAAAAAAATTATGTCCCATCATGCGGATTGCATCAACTAACTGTCCTCGCAACCCATATGAAGGCGCTCAAGTACATAATACAAGCGGAGTCAACCCCGTGAGGCAGCGGAAATATTTGCAGTCCGGTCTTTTCCCTACCTCCACCCTCCTCCCGCCTACACTGCCCATGCTAGGCCAAGTGCCGGCTTAGATGTCACGAGCTGTAGATCATATTGTATTGCTAAACAAGCTTAAGATAATGGGGTGTTGCACATAATTGGTTTACTTCATATTTGGAGAATCGCTTTCAATTTGTAGAACTCACTTATTTTTATTTATCAAAAAAACATTGGATACAAAAGACAAAATCAGAGTTACTGTACTACAAATGCATCTAGGTGTCCCTCAGGGATCTATTTTGGGCCCATTTTTTATATATATGCTACCTACATTAAAAACCTCCCAAATGCATTAACTGAGTCAAACAGAACATTAAGTATATACTATGCTGATGATATCAATCTTAAAACTTTGGGTAATTCAATTACTGATATGGAAAATTCTATTGAATTGGAGCTCAAAATATTGAACAGCTCTTAACAAACAACAATTTTACACTAAATACAAACAAGACAAATTTTGTTCTCTTTCATACAAATAAGATAACAAAACCCTAAAATTACTCTAAATAATAAACAGATCGATCAAGTGAAATCAACCAAATTTTCAGGGTAATTGATGAACATCTAAATTGGAATGAACACATTAATTATTTGATTGGTAAATTAATTCAGGCTTATCAATTATCAATTATTTAAGATGGGGACGCCACTATGTGCGTATTTTAACCCAAATATGAGTGAAGGATGAGTGTAGAATGAGTGGCGCGATCTTGTAGTCTTGTTAGTGACTAAGGCCGACATATTCCTTAGACACAGCTGTTAATTAATAGCCCATGCAGCTAATGGCAACTAAGGGACTTACAGTTTATAGTGGAATCCGAACCACATTTTTCCTTGTAATTAACGAATTGGTCTAATTATCAGGATAGTACTGCGGATAGTCTTAGTACTCACTAGTGCGGACGTTAATCCACACCAGGGAGCATCGCATCCACAGTCCATGCCTATAAATATCCACAATTCGTGACCTCCTACTAGCTGGATTACAGGACGACGCCACCCGTACCAGTATTTTTTGTTTGAAGATAACAAGGCTTATCTCTGTGAAAAAGCTGTGTTAGAAATTTAGAAATTTGATCAAAATATATCCATAAACAAGCAAACTACATTTTACAATATTCTCCATAAGAATAACATGAGAATTTTAAGTTTACAATTTTTTTAATTTTCTCCTTAAACACTTTGATATACTAAATTATTTGTTTTTCAAGCTCTTTAAGAGTGTCTAGAGAGAAATTAGAAAATTTAATGTTTTGAGGGTCGAAAATAAGAAAACCCAATTTTCACCCCATAAACCCTCTATAACACCCCGTTCCCATAGTCCGATCATGCTGGTTCGCTGATCTTTGAGGTTCCGATCATTCAAGTTTATGCTGCCCTACCTGCTAACCTAACCTAACCTAACATCAAATGAATATGTAGGCATATTTTCTATAAAGTGTTGTTCAAAACTTCCTTTCCATAAATACTTTTGTTCTAAATTTTCCTTAATACTGGAGGCTAAAATTAACTTAATACAGGCTAGTAGGCTATATGTATAAAATAACTCAAAATTACTTCCTTCCAAATATTTAGATAGAACTTAACAGGCAGTTAACTTAGTTTAACAAATTTCCAGAGCCACTTTTCTTTCCATGGTTAGCAGCCTATGTTACATGTATTAGTTTAGCAGTAAATAATTTCAACAATAGGCCTTTTTAAACACTTCTGGTATGGTATATATTGTTTTAATTTGTTTGATTGTAAGTGGTTTTGTTTACAAATAGAATATAGCCTAGGCCTAAGTTTTATTTTCTACCGTGATTTATTTGGTACCGACCCAACAGTAATATATATGCATATAAAAAAATTGAACCAACAGTTTTTTTGGCCTCTAAGGACATAAAAATGAAAAAAAGTATATCGGTCCCGTGCCTAGGTCTTACCGTGCCACCTACGGTAATAGCTACTCTCCTATAGGGAAATTCGCTAAAACACTGAAGTATTCCATAAATACAATACAAGGTAGAAAAATCTTACAGTAAAAAGTCATCATCGGCTAGAACTTTAAAAAATGAAGCCTTCGTATATCGACAATTTATTCATAAGAAGTTTGCTAACCTTACTAAAAAAAGATCAAAACAAAACAAATTTGTTGAATAAACTAAAATCATTCTTAATTAATCTGGCTCCCTATAGATGGGTTTCTAAATCAAAAATGTATTAGCTATCCATTCAAAAATTATTGTGAAGTTGCTTAAGTATTTTAGATTAAATTATATTACAAATTTGTTATCCTTTGACACTATTCATGTATATAAAAACTAATAAGTATAAAGTGAATAAAGATAATTTGATTTGATTTGAAATTTTTGAACACCCTTATTGATTGTTGAGCTGTATATTTCAATTCATCTAAAGAAGGTATCATTTTATATTGCCACTAAACCTTGTTAGCATAAATGCTTTGTCTTATGATTTTTACTTCCTGTTATTTAGGAGCCACTCATAACAAAAACCACTTTAAAAAAATCACTCAAATGCTTTCAAGTCAATATTATTTTACAGATTAATAATATTTTCAGACTTTAAGATTGATTCTCTTCATCTTGTCACAAATTTGATTTTCAGTACTTTTAAACCAACATTTCTAACCGATTATTTATCAAAATGCTTCCTCAGAAACTATTCATTAAAAAAAAAAATTTGATTCTTCATTGTGATTAACAATTTCGGAACGGCATTTGAAGCCATAGCTTTTCCCAACTGATTCATGCAACACATAGACAGCTGTTATATAGTGATCATTCTTACTTTAATACAAGAAGCAAGGTACGTAAAGACATACCATTTTGGCGACATGTGGTCCGCAGCATGAAACATGTGACAAGTGAGAATATCTCTACGCTGCGCAAACGTCTGTTGTGTTTAGACATTTGTGCCAGATAATTAGACTAGTCTCGATAGCGATTTGCAAAAGAAGATAAGATTGACTAAAGCGTAAATCCAAAAATGGCATCGCAATCAACTGACAACCGCCGTATGGATGAACTTTTGGCCCAGAATTATTGATCAAGTAGCTCTTTGACAATTGATAAAACTACGTACATATTGTCTTGACACGCCAGGTGCCTAGCTGTACAGGCTACTGCGACCTATTGCACGGTAACTCAGGCGGATTTCACATGGTTTAAATTTTAATCGCGCATCTTTGCAGAGACTGTCGGCGATCGATCAAATAAAACCTAGGCTTGGCTTGATTTGAAAATCTAGCTCTCACACTTCCAACATAAAATACCCGATCTGAGCTAGGCCAAAAGTTATTTCTAGCAAGAAACAATCCCACGGGCCAACTGTTATTCCGACCCAAGGATATCGGGGACCCGCAAACACCAGATGAATCATTAGTGCGGTTTTATCCTAGTTTCTTTTTTATTATATTGTAGGCTTAGTACTTTGAAACTCAAATATATATAGGTAAGTACATAGACTGTGGATTATGAAATTAAAGTATTTTAAATTTTTTTTTAATTTTTGGCTATATGAGTAAACAATGAGTTGGGATTTAAAACAACTTAAGTTTACCTGTGGTACAAAAACTTGTAAAAACACTTACCTTTGCACTTAAGGTGTTAAACAGAACCAACTAAAAATGTATTACATAGGGCATTGTAACAAATAAAAATACATTTCCATAAAGTTTATAAACGCCTACACCAAAATCATTACCAAATAATTAAAACCTACATAAAAAAAAACTATCGTCAGAACCATATTAATCTGTGGAAGAGGAATAAAACATTCATAAGCAACAAAAACAACTTGTATTGGGCTGTAACTCTAAACTAAACATATTTATAGTAGTAGAGGTATAAATTACATTTTTGTGGAAATTTTATGCCCTTAACTTTTTCGTTACACGGCACGTATCTGGTTTTAGAGAAATTTACAGAAAAGAAATAGTAAATAAGACTACCTTTTTAAAACTTTCTCCCCATTCCAATCCTGACCTAATATTGTTGGCTAATGGCTACCACAACATTGAGGAATGGGTAATGAACAGCAATAACAGTCAGGCAACATTTTTTTTTCAGATTTGATGGTTAGGCTACTTGTATAATGGTTTAGTGATTTAAGTCATAAAGTAGCCAAAAAAAGGGAAAGAGGCAAGCGAATCCCTCACTTGTAAAAAACTGATAATAATGACAGTTAATCAGACGGTAACAAAGAACTAATTCCTTCTTCAGAAGAAAATATTATATCGATTTAATTGTGTTGTAACTTTTTGTAGGTTCACAACTGCCTAGAACTCTTTTCTTGGTATAGTTATCTATCTATCAATTTCTTTTCCTTGATGTTGTCCTATGCCAGGTGCTTTTTCCTAAAAAAAAAAAAAAATACTACCTATAAATAACAAAAGTAATTTTTACACCGACCTTCCTCTTGATAGACAAACACGTTGTTCTGGATGAAGACGTTCAGCATTGTCTGCAAAGACTTGTCCGCTTCATAGACTAAATCTCCCAGCAGTGGATTAGGGTTGGTGAACAGCTGATTGCAAAATACCACCAGCAGGTCGCAGATGGTGATGTAGGCCTGTAGAAAACAAACAATTTCAATCAACATCCTTCAAGAGAAATATAAATGAGCACACAGTTAGTTCAGGATCAGTTTTTGGATCATTCATCTGCATTAGTTTTGCACAAGCATTCAAAAGTGATTGCCTAGTTGACTTGATATATTCATCAAGGTGGCTTTAAACGGTTGTAACTTAATTTCCAATAACAGTGGGCATCTCAACACAAAATATGCCGTGGCACTTTTGGTGAGAGGAGAAATTGGTAAGTGCTTTGGCCATTAAGTGAGAACTTAATGCATCTTGGTTTCCCCTATTCTTCTTTGGAAGACTTCACCCAGAAAAACGTATTACTGCATCACCTTCTTGTCAAAGCTGAGCTGGGTGGGAAGAATTAACCTGAGCTTTTTAACTGAAATAAATTAAAAATGAGCTGAATGGTAAGAAATTAATGAGCATGTCAATGTATTCTTTTCCTATACATAGCTTCTTTTCATTGGCTGTAAAATATTGCAATAGAAGCAATGACCAACTAATCATACCTACTAACATAACAAAATAGTTGAAAAACAACAAAAATGTACTTACCTCTTCTTTGTATAGTTGGTTGCTTTCCATGGTCAACATCTCTTTCATGCAGTCAAAAAATTGTGTCAATTTCTGCTTGACTTCTTTGCAAGCATCAGCTCCGCTCTCCGCAAGCTCTTCCAAATGGTGTAGATCCCAGAGAATTCCAAAATAGCAAGCAGACATACAGTACTTGACAGCCTAAGATAAAATTGTGATATCATACACTTTTATAATCATCTGCTACATGTTGGTTAACTCTGCAGATAAATAAACTACCAACACTTAATCTGCAGTCAATGAATGTGAAGTGTTCTTGGACCAAAGAAAAACTCAATAACTGAAATATCGATTAGTCGATTTATTCTTGTTTACTCAACGTTTTTCACAGATTGAATAAAAGTTGTAGTCTTAATTTATTCATTGCATTTTTGGAACATTTAAAAACATAAATGAGACAAAAATGTAATAGGCCTACTAGTTTCCCAACAAAAGGATACCGGTGAAAATTGATTTGATGGTGATAGAGGGAAGGACACAGGGAGGAAGATGCAGTAGATGAAAAGATAAGGTGAAAAGGGATGTGGAGAAGTGAGGAATAAGATGACAGAAGGAAGAGGAAAAGAATGTTGAGGGATAGGAGAAGCAGAGTCTACACTTAAACCTGGAAATAACCGTTCAAGTGTTGTACTAGCCCAGAGGTTAGCGTCTCAGACTTTGAGAGAGGAATGGGTCCTATCCCTAGCATATCCACGAACATTTTTGGTTTGGACTGCTTTCCTTTAAAGATGTAGCTCAAAATTCTACTGGCATAGACACACAAAAAACAACAGAAAATAATAGTATATATGCATGTATCTAATATATTTGGCAAACACTTTTAAAATACTAAACAATATTTACAGAGTACAAGAAAAATTAAATAAATATTTAAATTACCTCTTCAGGCAAAGTTCTATTGCCGTCTTTCGCCTCAACCACATCTTTGAACATTGTGCTCCAGATATTCCAACTGCCGATGTTGTGACAGGAGTAGAAGATGGCGACTTTCTTCAAACTGTTTACCACATTGAATGTCTCATCATCGTCAGGAGTCTCAGCCTGAAATGTGAGAGGTATTTTATCTGCAACTCATGTACAAAACTGATCTCTAGAACACAGCTTGAGAATGTGCATATTCAAGGTGTTAATAAAAATGTTATCTACACATCCGATTGATTAAGTCTCTTTTTTGTCTATCTACAAAGCTAATTCTGAGAACATATGCTTTACAATGAAACTCGTTATTTAGTTGGTCTAGAAGTGAGAAAGATTAATTGATTTTTATCAACAAGTAAGGTGATTTTTGCCAGAAAGCGTGTACAGGGAATATATGTTTTACAATGAAAATTGAGGTTGAAGTAGTTGATCTATAAGTAAAAAAGATTGATCGATTTTATTTACCGACTGAGGGTTTCATTTTTACTATGAAGGGTGCGTAGTTTAAGAGGAAGTAAAATAAGAGAACATCTTTCTGCAATATACAAATATCAGTTGTATTCATTTTTGGTCTGGTTTCCAGGTACGATTTTAGGTACAAACGCCATCACCTAAAGGTAACGATATCATACGATTTCCAATAATCGGCACTGGCTACAAAACATCATCTGATCCTCTCTCTACCTAGAACATAACACCGTCCATATCCGTCCGTCTCTTCAGGGCAGTCAACCTCCAGCAGTCCAATCCAAACCTAACCTAACCAGGCCATGTCACAGAAATGTAAACTGATGTAATTATTTGCACCAATGAATTTTATCCTTGTGATAATACCGCGACTCTCTTGGACTAGCCTGTTGAAGTAATGTAAAAAGTGTTTCAAGCTAGTGCCTAGCATCCTAGAATTTGAAACTGGGTCATAAAAAAAAAAAAAAAAAAAAACTGTGTATGCTAGACTGATTTAAAATTTCAAACGACACTAACCCCTTCGATGAGGCAATTCCACTCGTCCATAGCCTCCTTGTATCTGTTGACAATCGCGTCTATGAGCGTGCTCCGTTGTACATCACACCGGGTATAGATGGCGTTGCCTTCAGTACACAGCACTTCCAGAGTTTTGGCGCAAGTTTCCAGAACATCAGTATCATGATGCTTCTCCACAACTTGGTGCAGTTTCTTCAACAGGAGGTCTAAATTCTGCAAAAAAGGGGAAATTTGCATTAGTCTTAAGAGTTTTTGGTAGGCTAATTTCAAGGAGCGATGGGTAGGCCTAATTGAAGAGGGATAGAGTTTTGCTCGATTATATATCACAATTGCAATCCTTTAGGACGTACATCTAGCCCCTGTTCTCTGAATTCAACATCAGAGTTAGCGGGCTCCAGGGTTAGGCAATTCCGGAGTGGAGTGGTTAGTCAGTTGCTCAGTTCCGCCACCCAACATGGGTAATTAGTTCCCGAGTAAGTCAATTCCATCCTCTCCTGTTGCCTAGCTGATTTTCCAATCAATTTGAATTTGGTATTATGGTTTTAGTTTATCAGGGTTTTGGTGTAAAGGGCTGCAATATAGAAAGCCATTGTTGCTATTAAGTCATGTTTTCAAAAGGTGATTAAAAAAAATAATGTTATTAACACTGCACTGCTTTATTTTAGAACTAGGGTCCTTGTTGCTTGAATTCGAGCACAGGCGTTTATTTTAAAACGAATAACAGTCATAATTTCAGATGATACGACTCAAAGATTATGGAAATACTCAAGATGTACATAACAGATCGATAATCAACATTTCTTGTAAATATCTTATCCTTTTTCAAAAGCTGATAATGTTTTTTTAGTGATTTCTACAAATAGCCTTACTCATAGACGCATTAGGTTGTCCATAATAACGATTATAAAGTTTAAAAAATATATTATTTCTATTTCTTCTCCTTGGTGGTGTTCTATGACTTTCCTATGTTTCCATAGTTTGCAAATCGGCTCTTTCAATGATTACTAAGAAATTCAGCACAGTGTTAATTCAGTTTTCTTTTTAGTATATCAAATTATCTAGGCTCTCTCGCTTTTTTCCAATGTAATATTTACGCCAACCCAATTTCAAATAGTAAATATTTCATTTCAACCAAGGCCACACTAAAAAAACAGGCCGTAATGCTCGTCAAGCATGACGTCACGATAGAAGACGGCAATGACGTAATTTTGCCGTTTGTGATCAGCTGCTTGTTTTAATCTTTCATTGGGAAATAAATAAATAAATACTTATACGTCATAGCCGTCTTCTATCGTGACGTCATGCTTGACGAGCATTACGGCCTGTTTTTTTAGTGTGGCCTTGTTTCAACCAAGTAAGTAAATGTTTGTGTTAAATTAGCAAACTTATTGACTGTTTACAATTAACATATGTTCTTCTTCTCACTTTTAATTTCTGACAACAGCTGGAGTTTCATAACAATGTTTGTTTCCCATGTTAATCTTATGGAGAAATACGAAATTTTAAAAGGTGCCAGGGGCCTCACTCTCTAATTATTTTCCTAAAAAGAATGGTGTACCTACTTATACCCTATTGGCTACCAGAAGCACCGGCCAATACATTTTTATAAGTACAACTGGAAACGAAATTTACTTGTTCATTAATCAACTTATTTCTATTTTTACATTTTCCCTTATAAATATACAATTCTTCCCAAGCATTCATTACATATTTACACATTTATTGAAGATCAAGTATTGGCTACTTCAATTAAAGCTAGGTAAGTAGGTTTAAGTTTACCAGCACAATGAGTTAGTGTCAATTTGTTCTACTGTACCTATGATGTTTAGTCCTGCAGATTGTAAATGGTTCTTTAAATATTAATCAAACCATGAAGAATTCTATGAAAGTGCAAGTTCAAATCTTTATTTCAACAAACCTGTAGTAGCCTTTCAGAAGCATTAAAATGAATTGAATAATAAAATGTCAACTCACGGCTTCTTGTCTTGAAGTTGTGTAAATTTCAAGATCAAAATATTGCGGGATGGAGATCAGGTTTGCCAACTTATCAGGATCGGCTCGGTATTTATCGATCAGCGGTGGCAATGTAGCGATAAAATGTTCCGTCAATCTTTGCTTGTCGTCTTGAACTTGCTTGATCTCCTTCACTGACGGAATCTGTTGAGAGGAGAACAATATTAAAATATTACGCTACAAAATATAATTGTGCCGTATTCAAAAGGTAACAAATTAATCAGTGATTAGGAAATCCAAAATCCTATCCTCAGCTCACATTAATTTGCAAATAACAACATTTACCTTGGCCAATTTTTAACACTCTTTCTTATTGTCGTAAAAAATAACACTTTCAAAGAGCTTCAAGAGACAGTAACAATAATCATCTACAACAACCTAACTTACCAATTGGCAGCTTGAAACCTTCTAGCTAATTTCATTTTCGAGAGTTGTTAGCCTCCGGATTACGTTTAAATATTTATAATGGTTTAAGTACCTGCAATTAGTAAACCAAACTGCTGCTTGTGGCAACTATAGTTTCAATTCAGCTAGAAACCATCTTCAGGCCGTAAAAGGTGCACACACGAACACGCACATTGATATAGCTAAGCTAGATCATAGATAAAAATAGGCTAATGAGCATAAAATGCATAAACCTCAAAACAGACAAAATGGACATTTTTTATTTTATTTTCCTACTCTCTTTGTCTACACTAGACTAAGTTCGCCAGGGGATGCAATATTGTGTATTTTCCTAGCTGCTATCTCTTTATTCTACATTTCAAGATACCTTTCTGTTAGGCCCTCTGCCAACTGGGGCTTCTCCAGTAGCTGCTTGCCTAACACAACACACCATCAGCTCTATCAGACTTGTCTCCTGGCGATCATCCAACGGCTCCTCGTGGGGACCTGCAAACAAAACATTGTTACAGTAATAAAAAACTGTTATTATTTGCTCAATATATTGTTACCCTCCCCTAATATTGTCTTTATCAAAAACTATCATGCCATCAGTATAAACAGTGTAGGCCATATGTTCCCATAAGTTAAAAAAACATGAAATTTTAACTGGTTTGTGTGATAAATTGACTTACACACCAGTTTCTGCTTTAAGCCATTTATGTAACATTTTGTGCTAAGGTAATACATGAGTGTATAGAAAGTTATGTGATGACACGTATTCTATACCTGGTTCTTCCAGTAGCAGATCGGTCATGCATTCCCAATCTTTCATCATGTCGTTACTCTCAATCAGTGAATCGACCAGGTAAGCACCGTGTTCGTGAAGCTAAAACCATTAAGACTTTGTTAGAAACTAATATTTGTACCAGTATAAATAGGGTGACTAATAGAATACTGATACCTAGAAGCTAAAATGTATAAAATGGCTATATACCTTCCAAAGCATCTATAGCATGAAATTCAAGAACACTGCAATAAGTGAGCTAAAATTAAATTCCTTTGAGGGTCATAATAAAAACCATACATTTGCAAGCCATAAAAATATTTGATTAAATTTTAGCGAATTTCCCAATAGGGTAATAGCTATTACCGTAGGTGGCACAGTAAGACCTAGGCCCTGGACCGATTTTCTTTTTCAATTTGATGACCCCAGAGGCCAAAAACATAATTCGTTCAAATTTTCATATACGGTATAAATAATACACCATAGTACCCATTTTTTTATTATTATTTTAAAATTATATATATATGTCCGTAAACACGATAAATTGAGTAATTTTTGTCCGACTTTTATTAAATTTGGTTTGAGGTTGTAAGGCGGGATAAACTTAAATGAGTTTGCGAATCAGCATGATCGGACCATGGGAACGGGGTTTTATGGAGTAAACATTTTCCAATTTCTCTCTAGACCTTTTTAAAGAGCTTACAAAAAAACAAACAAATGAGTATATAAAAGTGTTTTTGTATGGTTGTTGGTAACAGAGAAGATTTAAAAAAAAAATTAAATTTTAAATTACCACATTATTCTTATGGATAATGTTGTAGTTTGCTTGTTTATGGATATATTTTGATCAAATTTATTGATTTTATACTAAGCTATAATAATTTTACTAAAAAACACACTTTATTAGTTTCCTTGTAGCAGCAAACCTAGTTACTCGTTACACCTAAAGTTATTTAAATAGATTAATTGAAAATCAATCCAGGCAAATGGAAATTCGCTTAGACGGCAGGTTTGCTGTGGCGTGGGTATTTTATACTAATTTGTGATTGCGGCACAAATTTAATCCCCAGAACTAAATGGTCCAGATATTTAAAATTGGGTTACAAAGTGTTATACATGTTAGCAGTACAGAATAATAATAAATAGTACAAGTTTTAGCCACCCCGTCCGAACAACGTTAAACCGTAACCATGGTAAACACTCAAATCAATTGGACAATCATCCTAGAAGAAACGGGAACCGCCCACCATGGCGCAGGTAGTTGGCCAACAGAATGTAAGTGAGTAGACCACGAAAAAGATCTCATACCATGATTACATTTTTTTTTTATTTTAGTAAATGGATTTTGAGTAAACAAACATACATACAGTTGTATATGACAGTGGTAAATAGCCTTTGAATTTCAACCATTGATTAGGGGGAAAAAATTGGTTATTCAAAACAGCCTCACTAAGCTAGAAGACCTGTAACTTCTTTCAGACTAGGACACCAAATAAGTACCATCTATCAAAATGTTTATGTGATCCCCACTTGCCCAGTAGAACCTATGACTGATTTGGGACCTCAAAGTAAAGTCTGTAACTTTAATAACCAATAGAAAACATTAAATCAAATTAGGCTACAAATTTTGTTAAAATTCAAAAGCTTAATGTAAATAAACATACCTCTGACTCTATAAAGAACTGTACAAGATCTCGTATGAGAGGAGTGTTGGGAAGCCTCTTCTTGCCGCGCTTGGTCCTCACAATATTCCCTGCGTCCTCTGGTACAAACAACCTCTCGTTGAGAAACTCTCCCGCGGCCTGTGCGACCGCGCGATGACTCGAGTATACCAGCTCGTAAACATGTTCACAGTCCTTGTCTGTCAAAATGTCTCTGTGATTCCTGTAAGTTGAAACTTGCCTTACTCTTGATCATTTTTCAGACTTCAGAAAAGTATTATAATTCATGTAGGCTTACAGTCTTAACTGTGTGTTTTGTTGTGAAGAATATTTGACAATTAATATGAACTTGAAAATATATTGAATTTAGCTATCATCTCAGAAAATACAGTCCAGGGAATAGAAACACAAATAAAAGACCACAAAACATAATAATAATGATTTGTCCTGATATAGAATTTCCTTGGAGATTAGATTGAAGAGGATATAAGTGTTATGTTTTGTGATATATTTAATTTGTGTCGCCTACCTATTAACCCCTGGACTCTTATTTTCCTCAGGTAAGCTATAAGAACTCTCTACCTTTTGAAAACCAATTCTTAACCGGCTACTTAGCTTTCCTTTAAAACATATATTTGTATTCATGATGACTGATTATTAAAGATTTTTGAGGAGGGTATGTCTAACAGCAGAATTACCCTAGCCTACTGTTGAAAATAGATGTAAATGCACAAAAATAAACACTTACACACAGAACTGTTTGAGCACTAGCTCCTTGTTTAGTAAAGTATCAGTTTTGTTATGTTGTTCTGGTTGTGGAAGACAGGAAGAATATGCTGTCTAGCCTAAAATTTTTTGAGATCAAATGAGTTCAACCAGCTTTTCTTTAAAAATTAGACTCCAAAGATTTATGGATATAAAAAAAGGTTAGTCTTGGATCAGTGTGCATTTGTGATATGTTGTGTACAGTTTTGAGCATTTGTTGAGTTTTTGTTAATAGCACTTGAAGTCTATTTTTTCTCAGGTAAGCAAGTTGGAATCTATCCATAAAAAAAAACACTGACAGTATGAGTAAGTTAGATTACTGTAATGTATTGTCATCAAAAACCAAGGTGTGGTACAGAAATTGGTTTAGGCATGTCCACTTACTGCAAATCACATTTTTATAAATAATTTATAATTGACATTTTCTAAAAAAACTTACTTCAATATGCTGATGACGAGACGTACAGCTTGTACTGCCACATCATACTCTTTGTCTAAAGTCATTGCAACAATTCTGTCCTTGAACTTACTGGTGAACAACTCCAGTTTGCCTTTCAGTTCTTCAGATGCATACAGGGGTTGAAGAGCCTAATAAATAAACATCAATCTATATCTATAAAAGAGGAACTATGTATGAATATATATGTGTATAAACGTTATGGACTCCGAAACCGCTCGCAGTGGTATGTTTAAAGGAGAAGTAGTCTTAATCCCATAAGAATACTGATGATTTCATCTGAATTACCCTCTGAATTTAAGCAACTACAAAATCCTTAGTCTCTTGCTTTCGCAATCACCATTATAAGGCACTAGGGCAATCCCTGACTATCGTCGGTTTAAATGTAGAAAAAACATGCTTTTCACACAGACAGATGTAATTTGTTAGCGCAGCAACGCGCGCCGGGCAACTGCTAGTAAAGTTATATTTTATAAATTTGTAAACAAATAAACTAATATTGATCCAACAAAAGCTTAGATTTGCTAGAACATATTGAGGACAAAGGTGTTGTTTTCAGGTAAATATTAAATGTTAATAAATGGTTTACGAAATCTTCTCCAGTTGTATGTATAAATTAATACACTCGTCAAATTAGTGAGCGATGTGAACTTTAACACTCTAACTTATTTAGTAAGGATTTGGTAGTGAAAAATAGTGTAAATTACTTAATTGTTTGTATTCTACTTCAATTAAATTATTTACAAATTTAAAATACTAAATGTAAAAAAAACCCCTCATTTTTAGGAACCAAAATCCATGGAATAATTGGCCCTAAGCTAAATCTCATTTACAAATTCATTGTAATTTTTTACTTTACAATTTATGCATCATTTCAAGAAACCTAATATTTAAACTAATTTTTAGTTAACAAATATTTAGCCTACTGATACATACCAGGACTTTTTTGTAACTGCTACAATGACTGATTTTAGTTTAGATTAGTTATTTGTTGAAAAATGTTTACAAGTAAAACCACCAAGTTTACAAACAATATTTGAGTTTTTAATTAAGATCCACTTGACTTAAATATTTAGGGCTAAAACAACAACTAGGCATGTTTGTGTACCTGTAAACATTTCAGTCTCACTTCTCCTACTTTGTCGTGCAAAGTCCAACCAATATACTTCAAGTACGAATCATCGAGAAAGTTCTGGTGAAACTTCTTCATCCAAACACCGATTTCTGCCATGCAAATGGATCTTATTTCTGGTAGGGTATCCCTGGAATCAATTTTAGACTTCATTGGCCAATGGTAAAATTATTGTGGGTAAAAAAGGTTCATATGTGATTCATGCATACAATTGCTCAAACAGTTATGTTTGCACTTGTTAAAACTATTGAATAGTGATGGTCGGATCCGGATATCGGACTACCGGAGCTAGAACCGGCACCGGATAGGATCCAAAAAATTCCGGATCTTGGGCTGGATCCGGTTTTGATGGATCCGATTTTTTCACAAAGCTGTCTGTACCACTGTACAACACCGATTTGATTACTAACACAAAGCTGTCTGTATCACTGTACAACCCCGATTTTTTACTAACACAAAAAGCTGTCTGTATCACTCTACAACCCCGATTTGTTTACTAGCACAAAGCTGTCTGTATCACTCTACAACCCCGATTTTTTACTAACACAAAAAGCTGTCTGTATCACTGTACAACACCGATTTTTTTACTAACACAAAGCTGTCTGTATCACTCTACAACCCCGAATATTTTTACTAGCACAAAGCTGTCTGTATCACTGTACAACCCCGATTTGTTTACTAAATACAAAGCTGTCTGTATCACTGTACAACACCGATTTTTTTACTAACACAAAAAGCTGGCTGTATCACTGTACAACCCCGATTTTTTTACCAACACAAAGCTGTCTGTATCACTGTACAACACCGATTTGATTACTAACACAAAGCTGTCTGTATCACTGTACAACCCCGATTTTTTACTAACAAAAAGCTGTCTGTATCACTCTACAACCCCGAATGTTTTTACTAGCACAAAGCTGTCTGTATCACTGTACAACCCCGATTTGTTTACTAAACACAAAGCTGTCTGTATCACTGTACAACCCCGATTTGTTTACTAGCACAAAGCTGTCTGTATCACTCTACAACCCCGATTTTTTACTAACAAAAAAAGCTGTCTGTATCACTGTACAACATCGATTTTTTTACTAACACAAAGCTGTCTGTATCACTCTACAACCCCGAATATTTTTACTAGCACAAAGCTGTCTGTATCACTGTACAACCCCGATTTGTTTACTAAACACAAAGCTGTCTGTATCACTGTACAACACCGATTTGATTACTAACACAAAAAGCTGGCTGTATCACTGTACAACCCCGATTTTTTTACCAACACAAAGCTGTCTGTACCACTGTACAACACCGATTTGATTACTAACACAAAGCTGTCTGTATCACTGTACAACCCCGATTTTTTACTAACACAAAAAGCTGTCTGTATCACTCTACAACCCCGATTTGTTTACTAGCACAAAGCTGTCTGTATCACTCTACAACCCCGATTTTTTACTAACACAAAAAGCTGTCTGTATCACTGTACAACACCGATTTTTTTACTAACACAAAGCTGTCTGTATCACTCTACAACCCCGAATATTTTTACTAGCACAAAGCTGTCTGTATCACTGTACAACCCCCATTTTTTTACTAAATACAAAGCTGTCTGTATCACTGTACAACACCGATTTTTTTACTAACACAAAAAGCTGGCTGTATCACTGTACAACCCCGATTTTTTTACCAACACAAAGCTGTCTGTACCACTGTACAACACCGATTTGATTACTAACACAAAGCTGTCTGTATCACTGTACAACCCCGATTTTTTTACTAACACAAAGCTGTCTGTATCACTCTACAACCCCGAATATTTTTACTAGCACAAAGCTGTCTGTATCACTGTACAACCCCGATTTGTTTACTAAATACAAAGCTGTCTGTATCACTGTACAACACCGATTTTTTTACTAACACAAAAAGCTGGCTGTATCACTGTACAACCCCGATTTTTTTACCAACACAAAGCTGTCTGTATCACTGTACAACACCGATTTGATTACTAAATACAAAGCTGTCTGTATCACTGTACAACCCCGATTTGTTTACTAGCACAAAGCTGTCTGTATCACTCTACAACCCCGATTTTTTACTAACAAAAAAAGCTGTCTGTATCACTGTACAACATCGATTTTTTTACTAACACAAAGCTGTCTGTATCACTCTACAACCCCGAATATTTTTACTAGCACAAAGCTGTCTGTATCACTGTACAACCCCGATTTGTTTACTAAACACAAAGCTGTCTGTATCACTGTACAACACCGATTTGATTACTAAACACACAGCTGTATGTATCACTCTACAACCTCGATTTTTTACCAACACAAATCTGTCTGTATCACTATACAACCCTGATTTTTTCCAGATTTTTTTACTAACACAAAGCTGTCTGTATCCATGTACAAGACCGTTTTTTCCCCCGAGTGTTTGTCTCTTGATGCAAACAACTTATATGGCAAGGCCATGTCTCGATGTTTGTATCTAGATGCAAATAACTTGTATGGCAAGGCCATGTCTCAGTGTTTGCCTCTTGATGCAAATAACTTATATGGCAAGGCCATGTCTCAGCGTTTGTCTCTTGATGCAAATAACTTATATGGCAAGGCCATGGTCAGTGTTTGTCTTTTGATGCAAATAACTTATATGGCAAGGCCATGACTCAGTGTTTGTCTTTTGATGCAAATAACTTATATGGCAAGGCCATGACTCAGTATTTGTCTCTTGATGCAAATAACTTGTATGGCAAGGTTATGACTCAGTGTTTGTCTTTTGATGCAAATAACTTATATGGCAAGGCCATGTCTCATTGTTTGTCTCTTAATTCAAATAACTTATATGGCAAGGTCATGTCTTAGTGTTTATCTCTTGGTGCAAATAACTTATATGGCAAGGTCATGTTTCAGTGTTTATCTCTTGATACAAATAAATAACATATATGGCAATGGCATGTATCTTTCCGAACTGAATCCGACCCGATTTTTCGGATATCTTCACACCTCTAGTTTTTAGTTTTGTACCTGGATGATAAGCTAACGGCCTATAATTTTGTCTCAAAAATATCCCGTTAGTATTTTAATCTCACCCGAAGCTACGTGATAAAAAATAATAAAAGTATGATTTAAATTGGCATTCTGTTAATTATGTTTTTTTTTTACCCGCCCTTATGACAGTGTGTATCTGGATCCGGATCCGAAGATCCGGATCCGAATTTTTCAAGATCCGGATCCGGTACCGACATTTTCTTGGATCCGCCCATCTACTATTGAATGTTACTAATGCAAATAATTCCCAACCAGTATTCCTTTCCTTTAAATTATACCTTATAACTTAACCATCTTTCCTGTCACACCTCATTCAACTAGCCTATGTTCTTTTGAATTAAATACAGTAGACTCTTGATAATTCGAAATTGGTGGGCCAAGCATAAAAATTTGAATTATCAAGAGTTTTGAATTATCAAGAGTTCGATTTATCGGGAGAAAAATAAACCATTCGAATTACAGAGAGTTCATTTGTTTAATACATACAAAGGTACAGCACGTTATAATAAAACATCATACCGTATTTTAGTACACAATCAACGGCTTATTTTTCAGTTACTGTAGTTGCAAAGAAATCTATTATTTAGCGCCATATATTTCGCAAAATAGCTTAACTATCAGCTGTCGACAACTACATTTTGTGCTCAAGGAGATGTCGCGCAATCTAGAGATCGGATTGCCAACTTAGAAAAACAAGTCAGCGAACTAACTCAGACTACTGCTCTAACTAAACAAACATCAAAACATCCAACACTAGCCTACCATGGGAACAGGATGTACTGTACTGTATAGTTTCCTGTTGTAACAGGAAGAGATCACTTCGAATTATAGAGTGTTTTGCTGACTAAACTTCGAATTACTGCGTGACTTTGATTTATAGTGTGTTTTTTCGACGAAACTTCGAATTACAGCATGACTTCGAATTATAGAGTGTTAACCGACGAAACTTTGAATTACTGAGTTACTTCGAATTATAGAGTGTTTTTCCGACGAAACTTCGAATTACTGCGTGTTACAAATTGACCTGCCCTCTATTTGGACTTTGAAATACCGAGTGTATCAAAATGCATGGTAAAAATTTGAATTATTGAGAGATTCTCTAGGGACTGAGCCTTCATTTTGAATTATCGAAAGTTTTGAATTATCAAGTGTTTGAATTACCAAGAGTGGACTGTATTTGATGTTTTTACAGATCCGCAGACTAACCTGTATCTGTGGACAAATACAGACTTGAACATGTAAGTAAGCATGTTCTTGATCTCGTCCATGTTCTCCTCCAGTTCTTGTCTCTTGGCCATAAGTGACTCGAGGCGGTCGCTGGCTCGCTTGTCTCTCGCCTTCTGTCGCTCCGCCTCGTATTGTCGTTGTGTGTTGTCCAAGTTGATGGACACTGTCAGCGCTACATCCACCAGCGCCGTCATCAGCTTCATGGCTGTAAAATTTTGATTTATGGAAAAATTCTTATTTGAGTACTCAAGTGTTTGTGAGAGAGAATACATTGAAAGATAGAATACAGAATTTTTTTTACAACACAAAACCATGAAAATTAGCTTGGTATTACAATAAACCCCCTTTAAACTACACTCCATTAATCCTAAAACTTGAATTAATTGACAATAGATGTTTGGTCTTAGGGTATCTAAATAAAAGCCAGATCACTGGATTTGGACCAACATAGCAACACCTTAGTTGTATCCACACTCAAAAAAGTGAATAAGTGAAAAGAAATATTCAAAGCATAACTTCAACAATGCTTCAGACAAAAGTGTACAACTGTGAGAAATAAAAAAAGACTAAGCTTACCAGCAAGTGTCGCTGTATGCCTGAATGCTCGGACTTGTGAATCCGACAGTCCCGTCAAAAGTGAAATGACATTGTCCATGAGATATTGATCGTAGATAATAGAATACTGACACTGCTTTACCAACATAGCGACGAAATCACAAAAGTTCTGTCTGAATTTCTTCCACTGCTGCCCAGACATTATCAAAGGATATTCACCACTTTCCTGTAAAAAAAATAAAAGGTTTCAGTAATCTGACACATACTTTCTCTCATTAGCTTGTCAACAACCTTTATCATGGGTAAAGCGGTGGAAGCAACTATGCTATTAGGTAAAATAACAAGAGTTGCAATAACTTTTGAATCGTAATTTAATTTTGAAAATTAGGCTACATAGGCTTAAAGTTCAAAAATGTCATTTAAATATCAGAACATGTCATATAAAGGTAAGGCAGTTCCAAGCACCTTTCAAATTCAAACCTTCCATACGACCATGAAATATTAATATACATAAAAAAAGATTTGATATTTAATGCCTTTTACAAACACCCAAAACCAAACCGTGTCAACCCAACCCTAATCCCTGCTTGTAAAGGTGTGTGGATGAATGGTCTAGGCAATGCCCAAATCAAGAAAAACTGGAAGAGAACAGGATATGTATATTAGAATGAGAATTTAAAATTTTTATTTGTGACCTACTTCATCAAACTCCTCTGTCATCTTCCGAATGATGGCTGCATGTTCCATACTGGCTGCCATCTGAGCAGTGATCTTACCCTTGCAGCCAGCCGCGTGTATGAAGAACTGCATCAGAGCTACTAGAGCGGTGTCGCGGTTGATCTTGTACGCTTCTATCCAGTCGTCCACAATAGTCTGAAACAACATGTTACTGAGAGCAGCTCAAAAGTGATATAATTGACTTTGAGTACAGCTAGGAACCTACCTTGCAGAAACGAATACAAATAGGCCTACCCTACAGGATTATTCAATTCAATTCAATATTAGAAATGGGATAAAGTTGTTGCTCACATCATATTGTAAAATGAAAAGACTGTTTACATCTCTGGTTAAGCTTTGGTTTGTTGATCTGACAAAATGTGTTTCTTTAATTTGAGGGGAAATTTTACCAATAAGCTTTTACTCTTTGATTTACCTAAATGGGAAAGGGTCTGTCTTTATATCGTATCATATCATTATAATGTTTATTAGCACATAAACGTACCAAGATTACATAGATAAATGTACAGGTGCTTCGTCATACTTTTAATAGCTTTATTTTTAGGCTATATAATGTACTTTCTTAAAATGACATAACTTTGCACAATAAACAGACAAACTTGTAAACCATTGATCACTATGTAAATGTAAGTCGTGAGAGAGTAAATCATGTAAATGTGAATAAATCACTATGTAAAATTCACGTTAGGCCTACAACTTGTTTTTGTATTGGATAAATACAGCTCTTAGTACAATCAGTGACTTCTCGGAGGGGGTCTGACTTTCTTACTGTCGGATGGGTATAAAATATTTACCTTCTCTGGAAAAAGTTGGGTCAACATTTGGAAAACCTTTACTGTCTAAAACCTTAGTAAAGGTTCTACAAAAGAAAAACTTACTTGAAGGGACGATCGTCCATTGCGAACAATCAAGTAGAGGCTAGAATCTTCGTCATTGATTGTCTCAGCATACGATCTCTTTCTTCCTTTCCTGCCAGGGGTTGTTCGTTCTTCCGCAGGCTGCCTCCTCACTGGGGTAGGCGGTGGAGGGGGGTTGTTTGGTTGTGTTGCATCTAGAATTCATTAACTTGTTCAGTTGATGGAATACTTTAAAAATGAAATACAACAATACGACCAAGGATTCAATCCATTAAAGCCAGTGGTTGCTAATTGCTGTAAAACCATAATGATAGACATTGATTGTTGATTGATGATAATCAATGATTTATTTTGCTTTTGTTAGTGAAATTCCCAATAGGTGAGAAGTTACCATTGCCTTTATTGTGATTCCCAGGCCAATAATTTTTTTGGAATAGTCGTAATTTAATTATATATTTTAATTATATACATAAATTTGTGTTCTTGAGCACAAAAGTATCTTTATAAATCAATAATTTTTATAAATTGTGTCCATTAATGCATTAAGTGCCTAATGCAATATATTGTCTCCCACATTAATCAAATTAAATTATCTAATCTAATTAGCTTTATTCACTTTAAACATTTTATATACCTACATGAATAGTGTCAAAGCATATAAAATTGGTTATACAATCTATAAGTATAAAAGAGGATGTTTGTATATTTGTTTGGCAGTGATAAACTCAGACACCGCTGAACCGATTGCCACGAAACTTGGTACAAACGTGTAGAATTTCATGGAATAGGTTTATACATCATCAATTTCGTGATCCGTCCAATCGGCTCCGCCCCAGTGGCTCTAGAGTTTCCCATGTTAACCTTATGAGAAATGGAATTAATGAATCTTAACAGCTGTTTCAATTAAACAAGTTGGTTCTGTTCTATGATGTTCAATAGCATTAAAGTTACAAGGATTACCGACAGGGTGCAGCACTATTATTTCTTTTACATTTATGACAACAGCTAATTTGCAACCAAAAGGTGAGTGAGCGTAGCAAACGAACTTCAACCAGGAGGCGAGTTAGCGTAGCGAACGAGCTCCAGCCTAAAGGTGAGTGAGCGTAGCGAACGAGCTCTAACCCAAAGGTGAGTGAGCGTAGCGAACGAGCTCTAACCTAAAGGTGAGTGAGCGTAGCGAACGAACTTCAACCAGGACGTGATTGAGCCATGCGAACGAGATCATCTTGAAAATTAAGAAGTTAAACGGGGCAAAGCCCGCGGGATTATAAATAGTCAAAGGCAAGACAACGTCTGCCGGGTTCAGCTAGTTTAATCTAAAAGACTTCATACAATTTTACAATTATTTTAGAATGAATAGCTACTTCATTTTTGATTAAGAAACTTATCTATACTATAAGGAGCCAGATTAATTTGGAATGACTTTAGTTTCCTCAAAAAATTGGATTTGTCCATATTGGGGTTGTCATTATCCATAGGCCTATGAATAATAAATTAGTTTATATGGATTTACTATTAATTAGGTAGTTATTATTTACTATGTTTATTAGTTTATGGACACTCTAGCAAAATCTGCCAGTTAATTGATTAACTTTTACTTAAAAAAAAAAAAAAAACTTTTCAGGGAATAATATTCCACATAGCCTAATTCAAGTTTTACTGAAGGTAATAGATTGTTCTAGCTTGATTCCTGATATCATAATCTATGTATTGCCAAGTAAATAAAAAGATATTCTTGTACACAGTGCTCCCTGTGTCTCCCATGAGCATGTCTTGCAATATCAGCGACACTGGTAATCGTCACCTGCATTGGTTAAATGACGTTCCAGATGACCTGACTTCATGGATAAGAAATGCTCAACTACATATTAACTTACATATGTGGGATTCCCTGGGTGTTGGTTTGATTCCTGGGCTTTTTCCAGGATATTTCATGGCAAAATAAGATTCCTGTATGGTTCCCGATTTTCCCGAGGAGTAGATGTACAAGTTACTTTTATAGCTAGTTTTTGTTTTTGGTAGAAATTGCTTCCTCATACTATTTTGCCTTTAGCAGAGCACATGTACAACAATGTAGGTAAAACAGCTTATTCAAGAACATTACTCACTCCTGAGCCGAGCCCTAGTTATCCGTCCACCGCGCAAGTTCAACGGAGTCATCGGCTGCTCGTACTGCGGGGGAGCTTCAAAGCTCATATCATGACTCTCTTGCATCGGCTCGGGTGGTGGTTGCACTGGTTCCTGCTGTAACTCCTGTTGTTGCAACTGAGCCTCGTACTGTTGTTGTTGTTGTTGCACCTCATACTGCTGTTGTTGTTCGTACAGGTGGTGCTGTTGTTGCTCATAGTTGTTGGCCGGTTCGTACTGTTGGTTGCCACCGTAGACGTCCACACTAAGAAATTTTTCAGGTCAATATAACTATTTATAAAGGAAAAATTTAAGGCTCTAAACTTTAAAATATGAAACAGGTTAGTCTAAATCAACTTAAATAATTTGTAGTGAATTTTTATTCATGGGAGTAATGGAGTTTTATTTTATTTTAGGCCTACCTACATAAGTTATGCAATCAAATTTAAAAACTTATCAGGATAGGCATACATATTAAATAGCCACATCTATTAGAGTTAGGCTGAAGAGCTTATTAGAAACATATTCATCAAGCAATAACTTATAAATAACAAAGTTAAAAGTTGAAAATATATTATAAATATTTTTTTTTGTCCAATAAAACAACAAGAAAATATTTTCTTAGCTGATAAGCTCTTACTCATCATATCTACTGCATAGCCTAAAATTGAAACCACATACAAGCCTTATCAATTTATTAACTATTAGGCCTACTCACCCTGCATGCATAGGTGTAGACTGGTTGCTATAGGGTGTATATGGTGTGTACGGAGGTTCTTGGGAGTCTGCCATACTTCCGTCCATGGGGGTCATGGGAGTCATTGGATTGCTGGTGTCATACTCCGGTGGGGGAGGTTCATCCATGCGGATGCGCTTACCAATACTTCTAGGATGCATTGTGGTTTGTTTCAATTACACAACCTAAAACATACCTTGGAATAAATAAACTTGGTTGATTGTTGATCTAGAGTTCGGGGTCAAGGAGAGGGTTGAATGCCTACAACATTCCCTACCATTCCAACTAGGTAACATTAACAAGATAGCCGTACAAAAAAGTCAACTATTGATTATGAAAGCACTTTGGGCCTACTATGAACATTATAATAACAGATTTGACTCCTTGTTTGTTTCAATCTACTTAGATTTTATCAGTTTGATAGGTTATATTACGTAATAAGTAAAAAATCTATTCTTTGAGGGGGTTATTTACGTAATAAGTGAATATGTTTCAAATAATTTATTCTGTGAGGGTAAGTTTGTTTTATTTTAATATTATGAAGTTAAATAGAACGTTGGTTTGTAAATTGCAATCCGATGTGTAGCCTACCGTTACAAACCGTTGACTAACCGTTCTGGGATACCAAGACTCTTGCTCCGGGGCGGCAAATCTTTCCCAGATCAGCAAATCTACATAAATGAACATTTAGCTCCTCACACGCGAACAATCTTCAACAAAGGACGCGACCTACTCAAGGAAGGGAAACTGGAGTCTGTCTGGACGTCCGATGGCCGAGTTCTCGTCAAAACAACACCCAAGGGACGACCGACTCGAATAACCAGCCTCCAACACCTAGACAGCGTGACGTCACTGCGAGGCAAATCCACCACCGACCACAGCTCACCGTCACCCGAGTCAACAGAGACATCACCCGCGACAAGGTCACCGACAGCAACCCAGACCACTAACACTGACGCATAGATTAACTATTTATACATCAGGTATTTGACATGTCTCACATAATCTAAGTTTTCGACCAATCTAATGTAAAGTAACTTTTTTACTTCATTATACTATCAATCCTTATTGTCTTGATATTAAATTGGATATCTTCTAATCTGCAGTACCAACACATTTGCAAATTGCATTTCCATCTCGTAATCATTTTCATATTGATTTGTATTAATTTATGTTATCACTTTAATTGTTATTTTACTGTATTATTGGCCTAACCTATGGGAAAAAGTGTACTTCATTTACATTATTACATTATTTAACTTTTTAATATATCATGTATTTAAACAAATCGTTATATTACTTTATCGCGTGCATTAGTTTAAATGTATTATTGACTTTCCTATTTTTTAGAGTAACTGAGCTCATTGTTAAGAAGGATTGTTGTTGAGAATTGTTTTTCCCATAATTAATTAATTAATATATATCGGCATTTCCTTGTCTAAAAATTTATTTTTTGCTCAGATAGTTAGACTTAGCCGACTCATATAATTATTCAACTAGGGTATCCAAATAATTACATTCGAATACTGTCAAATTCTCATTCCACTATTATCAGAGTATTTGAATTAATCTTTGTTATAATTCCTTGCAAATACTTTCCTTAACTAAAATATGTAATCAGCATATTTAATCAAATATTTTACATATCAAATTATTTCATTATTTTCTGGAATTCAGTTCATGATTTTATTTCGAATAGCCAAACAATTTTCTGAAATCCAGCACGATTTGATATTTAAAATAGCTAAATAGTTTGGAATTTATTCCATAGTATAGCTATGTAATAGTTGGATAGCAACAATAGATTTCGTCCTTGTTGACTTGACGCAAACATTCAATACATTCCCCATTGTACTTGACGAATACCGTTGACGGCACGCTGCGCCTCTGGCTGGCAGAGCGATAGTTCTGTCCGATAATGAACATAGATTACGATGAATCTCCCTTTGTTATTTGTAAAGAAATTGTTAATCCGAATCACAATTTATTTGATGATAATTTAGATAGTAGTAATTCGTTTTGTAAGTTTAGAGTCTTTCATCAAAATATCAGGAGCTACAATAAAAACATAGATGACCTACTATTAACACTTCAGGGTATAAAAAACAAATTTCATTGTATTATTCTGACTGAAGCTTGGTTAAATGATGATAGTGATTTGTTGGCTATTGATGGCTATAACATATTTAGAAGCTACAACAACTTGAATCAGAACGATGGAATAGTAATATACATAGATAATTCATTATCAACTTCCTGTAACCAGCTATTGATTGGCGGTGTCGCTACGAGTCTTTCATTGACTTTTACGTGGGCAGGCGTGAATTGCAACTTAACTGCCATATATCGCAGTCCTGCTTCGTCTTTGCAAATTTTTATTGATAGCTTACATGATTATACAACAAATTCAACAAATTGTTCTAGCATGAAAATAATTGCAGGTGACATCAACTGTGACATTTTGAGCCCCCAATTAAATTCTTTGGAAGACCGTTACTTAGACATACTGAGTGACCTAGGATTCATCCAGTGTATAGACAAAGTAACAAGGCCAATAAGTAACACGTGTATAGATCATTACTTTGTCAAACTTCCGCCCAACTTTACAGCCAACTCAGCCGTCCTACAGACCTCAGTCACAGACCACTACAGTATTTGTCTCGAAATTAAAAGTACCGCCAAAACAAATCCGAGAGTAAACAACCACTCTCAAAAATCAATCAACTGGGAACATGTTAGGCAAGATCTCCTCGTTCAAAACTGGGATCTAATCTATACATCAATAGATGTCCATTCTGCCGCAAAAATCTTTAATGATATACTTATTACCATTGTTGAACGTAATTCATCTACCGTTACCACTACCGCTAAAACGTTCAAGATAAAACCGTGGATAACTAACGGTCTCTTAAAATCAATACGTCATCGGGACAAATTAAGTAGACTAACCAATAAACACCCCTTTAATACTAGACTGCGTGCGCGCTATGTTAGATACAGAAACATATTAAAATCTACACTAAAAAAGGCAAAATACGATTTTTACAAAAATAAAATCAATGACGCTCAAGGAGATCCAAAGAAATTTTGGAATATAGTGAACGAAGTAGCGGGCCGCGCAGATCCCAAATGCAAATTTCCAGTCGGCGCATTTGGCGCACACAGCGACACTGTCCCCTCCATCTGTGATAAATTTAACAAATACTTTGCTTCCGTCGGATCCCAGCTAGCCGGGGCTTTGCAGCCTGTTGGTCGTGTCGAAATAGAGGATGCTGATTTTGCTGTGAACTCCCAGTTCTCACTGCAACCAATTACCCATCAAGATTTACTAGATGTGGTCACCAAAATCAGAGGAAACTCGGCACCTGGGTATGATGACATTTCCTCTAAACTGATAAAGCATAATCTAGACGTCTTACACCAACCCTTATTTCACATTGTAAATTTAAGTATATCAACTAATACTTTTCCAAATCCTTACAAAATCGCCAAAGTAATCCCGATCTATAAATCAGGCCCAAAGAATGTGATATCAAATTTCAGACCTATTTCTTTACTTAGTGCGGTATCCAAGATAATCGAAAAATGTGTCAAGCAACAGTTGTATAGATACCTCGAGGAAAATAATATCATTGACAACGCACAGTTTGGGTTCAGAGCTAACGTAAGCACTACCCATGCCTTATTTAATATCTCAAAACATATTTATGAAAAAATTGATGATAAAAAACGTGTGCTTGTAACCTTTTTAGACTTGGCAAAAGCATTCGATTCTATTGATAGGCATAAATTAATCACAAAACTGCAGTTGATAGGCGTTGACAACCCATCACTTGACTGGTTCCGCAGCTATTTGACTGGTCGATCACAGTTCGTTACTATCAATGGCGAAAATAGTGATATCACTAACATTGACTATGGTGTCGTCCAAGGAAGTAACCTAGGCCCTCTTCTCTTTTTAATATATATCAATAACATTACTAAATTAAGAGTCAATGGTAAATTGTTTCTTTTTGCTGACGACACAGCGGTAGTGTCCTCGGGTAATACGTGGGATGATGTCTACCATCAAGCTGCATCTGACTTACTTAAAATAAAAAATTGGCTGGATCATAACACATTGACATTGAATGTATCAAAAACCAAGTGCATGCCAGTTTTCTTATCTCGAACTCGTGACCCTGGCCCTAGAAAACTCTATCTTCATTCATGTGGCGATCTGTGGTCTAATACCTGCGGATGTGACACAGTCGATCGTGTGGACCAATACAAGTACCTTGGGGTGATCATTGATCAAAGGATGACATGGTCTCCTCATATTATCTATGTAAAGCAAAGATTGAGGAAACTGGTCTACGCCTTTTATCAACTAAGCCGTGTGTTAACGGTTGATCACTGCAGATACGTTTACTATGCATACGTGCAGTCTGTGCTGCAGTATGGCATACTGGCGTGGGGCGGTGTATCTGCTGCCACATTGGCTCCTCTTCACGTAACCCAGAAAACCTTAATCAAAATTATTCTTAAAAGGCCAAAACATTATTCAACAAGTTTACTTTTTTCCGAATTCCCAGTTTTAAATATTAGACAATTGTTTATCAAAACACTATTACTTTTCATTAAGAACAACAAGGAAATTATTTTTTCTAACTTACAACACAGTTATCACACTAGACACAGGCATAACTTTGGATACCGCACTCCACAACTAGCATATAGTTCCTTGAAAAATAACGTGTTTTACATAGCTCACATCCTTTATCGCAACTTGCCGCCCAACATAACTGATGCTGAATCAGGCAGTGTCGCTGTGTATAAAAGCAAGGTCTGTGAGTGGCTGATGACTGTGGGAAGAGAGGCTGCAGAGGCTTTAATTCGCTCGCCTTACATTTAAATTAATCTCTGACATCAAACGCCGCCATAATAGCTATCAAAATAAATTTTTCTTCATAGATTAATATTTTTATTGTTGCTTAAGGCTGTTTATTGTTAATTAATTCTAGTATACAATATATTTATATAGCATATATATACATTTATTAAAAGCTCCTGATACGTATTAAGTACAGATGTACACATTATTTATAAACAGTGTGCACATTTCTTTTGACCTATGGACAATAACCAAAACTTATTTCCTGCTGGTAAGAGCTCTTCCCTCGAGCACGGACTTGCAGTCTATTCGGGGGAATACTATTCTTACCCTGATAATGTATTCCTGTATTTATATATGTGAATAAAGTGATTTTTGATTTGATTTTGTGATTTTGGTACTGGTAAGTAAGTCACTAGTCCATATGCACTGGTACATGTTCCCAGAACGTGCATATTGATTGTTCTATATTTACAATAAGTTCTTTGTTTTTATTTATAAAATGCCTCATCGACTGGGAATTGACAAGTTAGTAAACAAAACGATCAAACTATTTTTTTATTATTTTCTTTATCTATATCTATAAAAGAGGGACTATGTGTATGTATGTGTATATGTATATACATTATGGACTCCGAAACCGCTCGACAGATTGTAATGAAACTTTCAGGCATTATTAAGCATCTTTCAAGGATGGTTCGAGTAACGTTTGGTGCAGATCCGTCAAAAGGGCTCTGCCCCAGAGGGTTTTAAGTGGGCCAATGTCAGACTTTTTGATCTACAATGTTTACAAATAAATATAATTCAAAAGCAGATGTTTACTTTCACCAACTCTTTTGTAGGTTTGAATAATCACAACATTCTGTATTAGCAATAGTCATGATTTGAAATAGTGCCACAGTGTTTCTACAGAGTGCAGCACAGAAAACTATTTTACTTTTGAATAAGTCCAAATGTTTTAAACCCCAATCGCAGCACACCTGTGCACTTAACAACGTTTAAATTCTCCTATAATATAAAAACCTTTTTAACAAATTATTATAAACAATAAAAGGGATGACTTTTTTTAAATTTATGACAACAGCTAATTTGCAACCAAAAGGTGAGTGAGCGTAGCGAACGAACATCAACCTGGAGGCGAGTAAGCGTAGCGAACGAGCTAACCTGATAACAAGTGAGCGCAGCGAACGATTTCCAACCTGAAGGTGAGTGAGCGTAGCAAACGAACTTCAACCAGGATGTGATTGAGCCATGCGAATACTTATGAAGTTAAGCGGGGCAAAGCCCGCGGGTACAGCTAGTAAGTCATAAGTAAAAAAAAACAAGAATTTACTAAAGGGCAACCCAACCAAACTATTACAGGTAAGTTAGCAGAATAGCCAGCATATTTAATTTGACATCTATGCTTAATCTAGCCTAAGTCAATCCATTGACTAAGTTAAACTTACAAGATTGAATAAATACAAAAATAGTGGATCGGTCATTTTGTGACTAATGGCACCAAAGAAAGGGCACTGATCAGCCAAAAAATTAACCGATCGGTAGATCTATGCTTGGCTTTTAATATTTAGAAATACAAGTATGAATCAAAGTGCAGGATACATCCTAAATACTGTACTAAGCACAGAGAAGTAAGGTACAGAGGAAACTTGGTCATGGGACGACCAAGTGCTTTCTCTTATGTTGTGCCAGTAATATACTTGTGGCAAGCAAGGGAGAGCTCGAGCAGCAAAGCACTCTCCGGGTATTTCTATCGCACCTTCTGGGTCGTCCTCCACCGTCAGCATTGTAACTTATAGTTTTTTTTTTTTTTTTTGTCCTAGGACGCTAGGCACGAGCCTGGGATTGTTTTTCACATTACTTCAGGCTAGACCTAGGGGTTGCGGCATTATCACTTAGATAAAATCCATTGGTGACTTGGCGGGGATCGAACCCAGGACCTCACGGACCGAAGTCCCGCGCTCTAGCCACTACGCCAGCTCGCTCCCCATTGTAACTTATAGTAGATTTAAGTTACATGAGGGTGAAGAGGGTGTTGAAATTTGCCCTAGATGACGGTGATGACTAGTGCTATACACCAAATAAGTGTACCATCTGAGTATTTCCTCTGTACCGTACCTTACTTCTCTGTGATAAGTACTCAGTTATTAAGCCTTACTCGGTTCACAAAATAAGGTTGGTTTGAGGGGAATTTCCCCACTAAGTACTTTTTTTTGCTTAAGTTAATGTAAGTTTAAGCATTATGTGTTTAGCCAATGGTTTTATGTTAAGTTTATATGTTTGACATTTTGGCAAACCCCAGCTGTTATGCTAAGTCAAGCCTTCTCTAACACAAGGTTGGTGTGTAGCAACATCATGCCTGACTATTGTCGTGGTAAACTAAGTTACTGTCCATTTTCATTTAGTGCAACAGCTTTTTCGGTTTGACGGGGTTTGTCTCGCCGCGATCTTTTATTAGAGGAGGCTATGGCTAAGTTATTGTTTTAAAGGGAAGTTTTGGCCTACGATCAAATAGAGGGGATAGATTTCTTCCCCTAAAACCATTTACCATCCGAAGTCATCGCCACTATCCAAGGAAAGGGGAGTCTTCATCTTCTTCTCTCTTCTTCAAGTTTCTTCACTCCTTGTTTGTAGAGTGAGTTTTGTTCTGTATTCTTCTGAATTCAGAGATGGTATAATATGGTCGGTCAAGTAGCCTAGGTACTGTTTTAATTTACTGGTAAATTTAGGTACTGTTGTTTTTTTAAGGATTTGAGGTGGTCTGGAAGTAGGTTTAAGAAACATGACCCTGTATGTAGTGGAGTGTTAGGGGCCTACAGGATTTTTAAGACGGTGTTGCGGTAGGTATAACTTATGTAGGATCTATGTCTGGTGAAATTAACTTAGTACCGGTAATGTAGATTTTGGCGGGGAAGTGGCGAGGAGTTACATCAACCTAAGTTAAATTTGTGAATACTTAAAGTAGCCTATAGTTAACAACATAAACTAGGCTTGGCTTACAATGTAAACTGTTATTTCATCAATTTAAAAAAGTGGGCTAGGTAAAAGTAAATCGTCACAAACTCATTACGGTAACTTAGATTTGTAGATTGTCTCTCGAGCCAAAAAAAGTCTTAACCTACCTTATGACATAGGCCTAAGTTAAGGACGTGCTCAAACTATTGTAAAACCAACACTCCAGTTTGTGGTTATGAGCCTATGTTTTAGCCCAGTCTATGCTAAGTTATACGAAGGCCTAACTAACACTAAGAACTTAGTAGAGTAACTTAGCCTTCCTAAAGTTAGGCTCAATACTTGACTCAATCTTACGCAGTTTTGGGGATTTCTCTCTTCATTATAACTTATAACATTATAATTTTCATTGTAACATTATAACTTACAAAGACACTGACTACTGATCCAGGCAGTGCAGCTACCTTCGGGTATTTCAGTAAACTAAGTTCACTCTTGGGGTAACACAGAACAATCACCGCTGCTCTTTTGTTATTCGACAGATTGAAATATTTGAATGCCAATTGTGTTCGCTGTTTCGGTGCCGCGTCTGGGCTTCGCCACTATTGGCAAGTGCCTGTTTGAATGTATGCCGCACTCAACGTGTTAAATAACTATTTTTAATTATAGCCTATAAATTATAAAATGAAACTGTTATAACCTAATTTAAATAGGCACTAACCAAACTTGCAGATGAAATCGAATGAAGGTTTGAGTTGATCACTTAACCCAATCGATATTAGGGTAAGTTAGCCCAGTTAAGAAACTGTAATAGATTTTTCTTTCAGTTAATTTACCGAATTATGCCTATTAATCAATTAGGCCCTATTTGAAATAAAACTATACCGTACACTAACCAAGTAAAACCAAAACAACTTGGCTAAAGGCTATCTTGAACGTAGGCCTATCCTTGCAGTATATTGACTAGGTACTCTTCAGAAAAATTACTGATTCAGTGATAATTACCTTTAACTTAGTATCAACTCCGACGCACTCGCACTGGCTCAATAAATTTTTAACGATTGTTGGAAGTAGTGAAAGACATTAAAATTCATTCTCCCAAAACATAAACATCAAGATAAAATCAATGGCTGGCCGACTGTTGTTTTGTTGACTGAATCACTTCACTGAATGACTGAATCGAATTCGAATTGCAAATGCAATCGAAACACTCAGTTTAGTTCTTCGTTCTTCTTCTTCAGTTCAGATTTTCAGTTGACGTTGTTGACGTCGTCACACCTCCAATAACAATTTCCAATTTCCATCTTGTCTCTTGTCTTGCTTGATGGAAGGAAATAAAGAAAAAGACCACCATTTTTTGTTAATTTTTAATCAGGTTAGCCAACAAATTTTACTGAAGGATAGCACTAACATACAAATATATTTGTAATATATAATTCAATATATAAAAATACATGATTAAAAATATATTTCACCACATTTTTCACCAAGAGGTTGCCGTGTTTTCCATTCAGTTAAATCATTAAAGATTAAAGCAAAAGGGGAAGAAGCGGGGGCTTTTGACAATATCATGACAATATGTACCTCTCTTTTGAAAAAATAAAAATATTGGCATTAATTGGTACAGCATCTAAATAGGTAGGTACTAATCACATTAAATAGGCTAAAGCTCTGTACCTCACTTTTTACAAATCGAGCACTGCCTCTTATCATGGTCTATTATCAAGGGGAAACCCAGATTTCCCCTAGTTAGTTGCGCATAGAGCCTGTGGCTATTTTCCACCGAGTTAAATGGTTGGATAAATTAAATTTAACAATATTTAATCTGATTTTGGTCCCTAAACATCATATTAAACGAGCAATCATTCGTTAGATACTATTTTAAAGTAAATAAAAATAAAAATAGAAAAGTAACGCCATTATTTGTTGCATCTATAAGTAGTAAGAGTTGAATACCTTAATTACCTCCTCCTTGACCGAGACCAGCAAAGCCGGATAGGTTGCGTCAATTTTCTTTTTTCTATTTACACTATATACATAAAAACTTCCATAGATTGAAGTATGAACTGTATTAAAAGTACAATACAATTAATAACGTCGTAAGTGTAAGTACCTAAAAATATTTAATACATTAAAATCTACGAAGATCATAACTGTAATTCCTAACTAGACAACAAAAGTACTGTAACTTAATTGAGAAACTTACTTTTTAATTCTTGCCATCTTTATTTATTCATCTTAATTCTCATGTTGAACACGTAAAATTCCGCATTAATCATCGAATCCTCATTTTTGCTAAATAGTCCAAACTGTCACATCGTCGAATGCTGAGGAGTCTGTACAAGGTCCCCAGAACCGAACGAAATCAATACTGTGTCTGAGCTAGCGCAGACGCCAACTGAAAATATTAATTGATTGGTACGAATACGAATTAATATGGAGAAAAAAAAAATAAAATTAAAACAGGTGAATCTAATTTTGTTTAACAAAGAATAATTAAAATAGTTTAAAACACGCAATTCATACTTTTGAAATGCGAGATTTTTATTTCACTTGCTTCTATTTAAGTTACACTCCCCTAAAAATACTTACTGATAGCCTACTTATAATTTTACCAAAACCAAATAAATAACGTTTTGTTTACAACGACATTTTACTTCTTTGGACTTTGCACACACTATATACAGGGTGAGTTTTAATTGTCCCCCCCCCCAAACTTTTTTCTACTTTTTTTCAAATATCAATCCCAGACCACTTCCAAACATTGTTGGGTAGTAAGTACTTCATTTTGACAAGGTGGTCATTTCCGGCCGCCATTTTGGATCCGCCATATTGGATGCAAAATTTTTTTTTCAAATGTAAAGGTGGGGTTGTGACCCATTATTTCGAACTAGATTTTTACCTTGATTACAATGCCGCAAACTGTTTTTAAAAATCTTGATTCATTCTAAAGTTATGAGGGCTTTTTAAAACTTTATTTTTAGCCCATTTTAACATTGCGCATTTACAAACTAAGACCATAATCTCAAAATAGTGCCAGATAAAGATAAGTATACACTACCAGTAATTGTCGACCTATTTTCACTTGGTTATGACTGATGTATTTTTTTCGGCCGCCATCTTGGATCTGCCATTTTGAAATGTGGTAAATTATTTTAAATATGAAGGGGGTGTTGTGACCCATCATTTCTAACTACCTTTTTAAGCTGAACTTAATTCCATCATCCGTTTTTCATTTTCATTTTTTGATTTTTAAATTTTGACATTTTTTACAAAAAAATTGCAATATTTCATAAATAAAACTTGATAACAAAAAACGGATTGCGGCATTGAGTTTAGCTTAAATAAGTAGTTCGATATGATGGGTCATAATACCCCCTTCATATTTAAACAAATTTATCATATTTCAAAACTGCGGATCCAAGATGGCGGCCGAAAAAAATACATCAGTCATAACCAAGTGAAAATAGGTTGACAATTACTGGTAGTGTATACTTATCTTTATCTGGCACTATTTTGAAATTATGGTCTTAGTTTGTAAATGCGCAATGTTAAAATGGGCTAAAAATAAAGTTTTAAAAAGCCCTCATAACTTTAGAATGAATCAAGATTTTTAAAAACAGTTTGCGGCATTGTAATCAGGGTAAAAATCTAGTTCGAAATAATGGGTCACAAACCCCAACTTTACTTTTGAAAAAAAAATTTGTATTCAATATGGCGGATCCAAGATGGCGGCCGGAAATGACCACCTTGTCAAAATGAAGTACTTACTACCCAACAATGTTTGGAAGTGGTCTGGGATTGATATTTGAAAAAATGTAGAAAAAAGTTTGGGGGGGGGACAATTAAAACTCACCCTGTATATATATATTCTTGAGGAGATCTTGATAGAGTTTATGATGAATGAAACATGAAACATTGCAAATTTTTGTTTAATACAAACGTTTTCAAGCAAATAGAAGTTAATGAAAAATGTAAAGATGAACAAAACAAATAGATATGAACTGTTTACAAATATTTGAATTTTGAGAACATTTGATCGAGTACAGATCAAAGAAAATAATAAAATCAGCCTAAAAGGAAATTGAAATTCAGCTGAGTTGAATCACTTTTTTACTATCTTAAATTTAAACCAGGGTGGAACTTTGTTTTTACTTAGTACCAACTGGTGAGCCAATTCAGAATTTCTTAAAACCAGTTGGTTGCATTTAGGGTTTTGATGTGGGTTTACTTTGTGAAGGGCTTTATGGGTATAGCAGCCTTCAAAATTTTGGTTGTTGTGAGCGGCATGATTATAGATTGGTTTTCTTTTGTCTTCATGTACCACATCAAAACGATGGCCAGACTTCAAACTCTTTAAGAGTTTGAATGACAGGCCATCTTAGTTATAATGTATCTAAGTATTAATACACCATTCTATGTACAGAGTACTAATATTGAATAAAGATTATATTGATTGATTGATTGAGGGTATCTCCAATCCTAAAATGCTATGGGAAGGGAAGGAAACAGGTCCGCAACGTAGGAAGTGACGAAGTAAGTAGTAAAGGTAAGCAGTCCGGAGTGTGGGAACTGTTTATGACAATTAGATTAAGGTATCTGCAATCCTAAAATGCTATGGGAAGGGAGGAAAACAGGTCCGCGACATAGGAAGTGGTGAAGGAAGAAGGTGAGCTGTCCGGAGTGTGGGAACTGTTAATGACGATTAGATTTAAGGTATCTGCAATCCTAAAATGCCGTGGGAAGGGAGGGAAAAAGGTCTGCGACGTAGGAAGTGGTGAAGGAAGTAGTAAGGCTAGCAGTGCAGAGTTGTGGGAACTGTCTGTGGCATTTATGTATCTCTAAAATGGTTTGGGAATGAGGGCAAACAGGTCCACGACGTAGGGATTGGTGAAGGAAGTAGTAAAGGCGAGCAGTGTGGAGTTTGGGAATGGATTAATGTATCCATATATTATTGCATACCTTACTATGTTTATAGTAATCACATTACTAAACTGCTTTCAGAGTAAACTAATGATTTTCCCCGAGCAAAGCTCGGACCCATAGGTACTTGATGATAACATGGACACTTTCAATGGTTGTAGGACGGAAACTGGATTATTCCCAGCCTTGTGACCAACGCCAATCGATTTCACGTGGCCAAATGCCCCATATTAAAGAAAAAAACTGAAAAAAAGGTTTGCCCGCACATGCACTTTTTAGATTATAGGATTTTAGATAATGTTACAATTTGTTATTATATATATTAAAACGTGACAGGGTTTTTTTATTTCACGATTCTGAATAAACCACTTGACACAAGTATCGTCGTATAAGAAATCTGTGAAATTTCATGAAAAATTGATTCATACCATACCATAACCATCCCATTAGTGCCATATAGTTCAGAAACGAACTAAAACCTCTTATTTGTGGGTTTGAGAATGGAATGCAGAGAAAATATACAGACAAGGGCATTATGTTTACTACATACAAATAATGTCTGTATATTTACAATCTACAGACAATATATTTTCCGTAGAGGCAGGGGATGGGAGAGAATTGGAGGCCAGAATACTCTTTAAGGTATCAGTGGCCACAATAATGTGGAGGTACGATAATGTACGGTAAGTGATCTTTTGCAATGGAAGGTTGTAATGTAAGTATGTAGCTATATACTGTTCTTAAAATCAGTGTGTGTGTCAATCGGCCGCCAAATTGTAAACTAGCTGTTTGTATTATATTCAGTTTTAATCGACTACTCGATTCCGGTACGTAGGACGGGCCAACAGCTTTTTAATTTATTTCCATAATAATTATTAATAATTATTTTTTATCTCTCGTATGGATGTATGGACCCAGTTCCTGTTACTAAAATCCTTGTCAAATTATGTACTTGACCTATAAATCTTGTACTACACTACATAGAAACGGACAGGAAAAATGTGTTGAATGCTTCTTGTGTTGTCAAATGGAAGCTGCTAAACTAGACAGGACACGACACGATACTGGCAATGGACAATTTATGTGACATGTTGTCTTGCTGTATGACCCAGGAATGCTTCCCTTTCAGGTAAGCCTGCTATCACAAAAATCATTAATACCTAGGCACAAATCTCTATTGTAATCTGAGACATCAAAATAAGGCTCGTTTTAACTTCTATAAATTATGACTACCCTATTTCGAACATCTATATTGTCACTCACAATAGTAGCGGAAACCGAGAGCATCTTCAGCGATTGCCAAGACATAATTTTGTGTAAAATCTTTAGGTGATACTTTAAAAACATAAAATTCACAATGACAATAAGCAGAGTAAAATCGTCTCCGAAAATCCCAGAAGCACAAGTGCGCTGCTGTCCCCCCCCCTCTGGACACTCTGAAGCTAAAATATAACAAAAAATACAAATTTCAAACTAATTTATTCACAAAGCTACAACCTGTGGGTTAGGTATATAGAACTACTACACTTTTGATCACAAGTTATTTGTAATAACAAAACTCTATATAATTAATTGTTTAATGCAAAGATCCTTTGTCCTCTTTTATCAGGAAGTAAATAGGAATGTTTCCTTTATCGGTGTAAACTATCTCAGAATGTTTAATGAGAAAAATAGCTGCTATTCCATACAGGAGTGTTGGTATACCTGAAACAGAAAATATAGGCTACATTTAATGATTTAATTAAATTCTGTATTAACAATAGCTCCTATGTTCAAAACTTTAGAGAAATGTAATTTTACAAAGAAGGATTATAAAACTTATAGAAATGGTTGGAAAAATGTATTTTAAGATGCATGACTTACTCATCAGTATCCCTGTAGGAGATTGTATAAGATTTTACGACAATGACAGGGTATGTATATTAAATGAAAGCCCCTTGAGGACCTTAATTTTATTTTATTTTGTGACATTAATTTTATTTTATTTTGAGACGTTAGATGGTCCCAAAACCAGGATATGGACCTTTTCCTTAAATGCCAATGGCATATAAACAAGAAATTTCCAGTCGAAGCCTTGTATCATGTAAAGTAGTTTTAGCAACTATAAATACCCCTGCCACAGTAAACCTGCAGTTTTAGCAAATTTTCATTTGCCTAATTGCATTTTCACTCAAATATTTCCTCAAAAATGTCAGTTTTATTCCCTATTTAAATTACATTAATTAGGTTTAACGAGTACCAAGGTTTGCTATCAAAGTGAAGGTAGTGAAGGTTTTTAGTAAGGCTACGTCCACGGTGACTTTGTCGCAGTGGCTTAGTTGCAATGACAAAGTCCCTAGGGATGCGGGCCTTTTTTTGACCCTGCCAGCGCCCTGGGCACAACTAATATTAGCACCCCTTTGCAATATATATATATAATAACAGGTTGTCCACCGACCGGGAAATCCAGGAATTATGCAGGAGTTTTTTGAACCGGGAATTAAGTGTGAATTTTGTATTTCTACGAGGAGTTTTCAACTTACCGCGTTCGCACATGGCAACAGTGACGTTTCCGTGACTGTGGTAGACGATAATATGTCTGCATACGGCCGCGCAAGGGATGATTAGGACTGTCCGCGATCGCAGAAGACGATGATGATTGATATCTACATAGCCGCGAGGGATAATCAGAAAGAATTTTGCCGTGATCGCGGAAAACGATTATGATCTCTACACGACTGTGCACAACAAGATTAACATTTTGCCGCAATCGTGGGAGACGATTAGGATGTCTACAGGACCGTGGGAGATACAATAATAATTTCTACTCGCGTAGAATGATATGAATTATGCCGCGATCGCGCAAGACGATGATAATATCCACATGACTGCGAGATAAACATTCGTTATAAACATTTTTGCAGCTGGTCCGAGGCGGCATGCCCAAGATTGCTCTTACTGCCATGTTCTGCCAAATAAAGATCTGGTCAATATTCTTCTTCACAGCTCCCCATAGGATGATTGAATACAAAATGTGCTGTTCTATTAGGCCAAAATACACAAGTTTAGAGAGAGCCAGGTTTCCGAAGGTCCTTATTCTTCGAAGTACAAAGACCCCTCGAGCCATTGACCCCTCCAGTTTTTTTATTTGTGCATCCCAGCTCAATTTATTGTCCAATATCACTCCCAAAAAGTCGGCAGTTTTTGAAATTTGAATTTGATCCCCTCCAATTAATAGGTTCGGAGTCCTATTATTTTTTTAAATTTTGTCTTTTTGCAGTTTTTTTGTGAATTTAATTTGAGTTTGTTTGAGGAAAAAAGTCAGCCAGATCAATTGCTCTTTGATCAGATTCTTCCTCCAGGGCCGCGTCGTCAGTCCCCCTTACAAACAACGTTGTATCATCCGCAAAGAGGTAGACGCTGTCCTGCGGAACAGTAGCCTATCTGTAATGTTGTTGATGTAGACCAAGAAAAGGAGAGGTCCAAGGACAGATCCCTGGGGGACGCCATTGGAGATCAGTTTTTTTGTTGATGAAATAACTTAAACTTTTTTTGGTCTTACAATAACTTAATACCTATGGCAATAGCATCTAGGCTAACTTAACACGTTCACTGCGGGCGTATCCGATCGGATACGGGCCGAGCGCTGTTCAGACGCTGCCGTAACCGATCGGATACGCTCGGCAATGCCTTTCGTATATCATCGTTTTTGCTCAAGCGTCGGTCGAAGGCAGACCTATTCCACGTTAGCGTGTAGTGGGTGACTTGCTTTTTGTTGTGTTGTAGGTTGGTAGTAAAATTTCCCCATAAAATCCCCGTCTGGCAAACTTAAAAATCAACTTGTTGTCCCGTCTTTCTCCCTCAAATTGGCAATACGATGGGACCGGCTACGCTCCAAGCAGTGCTGCTATATGTGAGTGTTTAGTGAACTACGTCGACTCTTGTTATAAAACAGGACATCACCGCACGTTATTTGCTATTCGTCATACCGAAATATGAGAGCCAAACACCCGGCAATCGGGTTTGTTCGACGCTGCGGGCTGCGCCGCACTGGGGCTACGCCTGCCAGTTGATGGCCCGCAGCGAACGTGTTAAATATGCCTAGATAGGAAAACCGTACCTAACAAAGGCCTGTTGTAAAATAAATCACCTACCAAAATTTAATATTTTTATGACCTTCATCATACTGTTATCAAGTGACAAATCTTGGTACGGTCTTTTAGTACAGTGGTATTTTATATAAGGATAGCATCCAGTTCTCAAAATGTGATAGTTGCTGTTACCAACTTTCCAATTGAAGTGGGATTGTCCTCGTTGATCGTTTATTACATTTTTATATTTGACAAAGTATGAAGTCCACGGAGGCTCATTGGTTTGCTTTAAATATGAAGTGAGGACCAAAGAAGCTGCTGGTCTTGTTTTATTCCACATATTTCAATTTAAATTTACCTGTCACTTCTATCGATTTTATCAGCAACACAGATCCTTTAACAGCCTTGAAATATAAGCTTAAAACATGGGTAAACTTGAAACAATGAAATAAGGTAGGCCTAGTTATTTGTATAACTTGAGTCGAGTGCAGCAAAGGCAATTTGCGCTCAAGTTACACATTAAGTTATATTTTTCCTACAGTTATAGTTACTTAAAGGGTAGAAATACTTAGTCTTTCAATCACTATACAACACTTTTTAGTTAGGTTAAATCCAACCACTGCGCTGAGAGAAACAAACAAAACAAACTGAAACACTGAAACTCCAACTCTAGCTAGAGATTCTATAGAACAAGAACACTTCACTACGGTTCTTCTTCTTCAATCTTCAGCGGTCTGCAACCGTCGTGAAGTTAGCGGCTCTTTTCATCGGCGCTTTTTCGGATTGTAATAGATATGGGTTGGTACGCCTGCGGGTGCCACAAACGTGTTTTGCAGGGATGTCGGAAACGCAATGCAATGACAATACGGTGCGAAATGATGTTTTTACATTTATATAATGTCAATTATACCTTAATAAAACGTGTATACACGTTAAAACTAATTAATTGACGTATTTTATAAGGCATATTGAGACCGTACTGTACATTATACGTAGCTATGGCTTAACATAACGCGATCAATTAAAACTCGGAACATAAAAAAGTGCATAATCTTTTTCCTAAGCCCATCACATCAACTTTGAGCTATTCTAATGGTAATATACAATGTGTGGAAAACTCAGTATAAATATGATTGAGGACGTCCAGTATATTACGAAGCTATAAGGCAAAATCTATATGGTTGATAGAAATTTGCGTCAGGAAAAAGTGCACAATGTTGACCCTAAGCCCATCACATCAAATTTGAGGTATTCTAATGGTAATATACAATGTTTAAAATACTCAGTATAAATATGATTAAAGGCAGTCCAGTAAATTACGAAGCTATAAGGCAAAATCTATATGGTTTATAAGAACTCGCATGAGGAAAAAGTGCACAATCTTTTTCCTAAGTCCATCACATCAACTTTGATGTATTCTAAAGGTAATATACAATGTGTAGAATACTCCAGTATAAATATGATTGAGGCAGTCCAGTAAATTACGGAGCTATAAAATGTGTAGAATAATCAGTATGAGAATGATTGAGCCAGTCCCCTAAATTACGAAGTTATATGGCAAAATGTATAAGGTTGATTACTCAAATAGATTTTGCCTTATCCCAGATAGCACGTAAGCTTGATTCAAGCCTTGAATTACGCTTGCTTTTACTTGAAATGACAGCTTTGAATTGTCACTTTAGATTCAAACTCGAGTCACATGTCAACTTCGTGTAACACACTTGAATTACGCTTACAGTGGATTGAATTAACAGCTTTGAAATGTCACATTAGATTCAAACTGGATTCGAGTATACACAACACACCACTATTACGCTTGCACTTGCTTGTATTAACAGCTTTGAAACATCACATTAGATTCGAACCCGAGTCGAGTGTAATATTACCCACAATGCACTTCCATTACGCTTACGTTGGCTTGAAATTGCAGCTTTTAAGTATCACGTTGGATTCGAATTGGAGTCGAGTGTAAGTTACCCATAATTCCGAGCGGGAACGACGCTAACGGTGGGACCGAACCGACACTTGAAGACGCCATCGGCCATATTGCTTTGTTTATTGCTTTGTCTTTGTGTATTTGTGAGTGATTCATTCTCAATCTCTCTCATTGAGTTGAGAATATCGATATTGTGGTGCTGAGTTGTTCAAGTTATTATATTATATTGTTGAAGCTGATTTTTATTAAGTTTCATCTAGGCCTATTTCTTCTTATCCATCAAGGTAAGTTCTTATTAGCACAAACTAAGTAAACTCAAGGATTGTAACTAACAAAATCAAATCGTCTTAAGTTAATTACAAGAATAGCCTAGTAAGAAATTAAGTAAACTCAAAATCAGTTACCCTAACTTAGGCCTAGGCATTGTCTTCACTGTTTACTTATAGTATAGACTATGGTAGGTTATAGCCTAGATTAGCCATAATGGGCCTAAGTTACGTTGTAGACTGTTCTTTAAAGCTGGGTTTTTCTAGGCGGGGAGAGAGTAGCGTGGAGAGTGAACTCCTCTTGTCTTAAATAGTTTAATGTTACTGTTTTCCTAGGAAGCAGAGCGGAATGCCATGTTATTTGATTTTCCGCTCTCCGCGCTCCTCTTCCGCGTCTAGGAAAACCCGGCTTTAGACTTAACTTAATGCCAATTTTATACCATTATATTTTAATGTGTAGGTAACTTATAACTTAGGGCTAGGGACTTAAAGCTAAGTTACTTCAGTAGCCTACTCGATAAGTACCTAACTTATTTAAGCCTACATTGTTAGTGACACTGTCAGATAAAATGCAGTAACCTACGTTTAATCGTAGTAAGAGTCTGGTCAGCTTTCAGGCGATGAGTTTCTGATATAGGCTACAACATTTTCTTCTCCATTAAACTAAAATTGGCATTAAGTTAGGTTAACTTACTTTGATTTAGTCCACTTAACGTAAGGCCTATTTTGCTTGGAGCGACTGTAGCGATAGTCGCACAGCGATTATCGCTCAGTTACTTTCGCTGTTTCGGCAACCGTTTTGCTTAGAGCGATTGATTTTTGGTCGTCGTACGATTTTTCATAGTTATTTGAATACCAGCACTCACAATGGTGAATCATGAGTGCGTGTTGTAACTTTTTAAACTATGTCCTCAGGGAGGAGTTAGAAGACGAGGCCCTACTTGACCCTAGGGGAAGTCTCAATAGACGATCGATAGAAAATGCATAGTGATAGGATAGGATAGGAGTGAGTAATAGGATTTGGAACGGATACGTATCACTAGATGTCATTAGGTAGGATATAAATAGAAAACTGTAGGCTAGTTTAAGCTACTTATTAAAATCAAAATTAAGAAAAATGCAAAGGAACTTAAACCCAACTTAAATAAATAAGTACCGTAGGTTATTTATTTAGGTTACTTATTTAGGTTTTTTTGCATATTTCTTAATCCTTTAGCCTATAGCAAAATAGGCTAGTATAATAGAATATCAATACATATAAAAATAAATTTGATTAAAATGTTTTTCGTGGACCCCACAAAAAAAATGCTTGCGGACTACACTTTGAGAAACTCTGGCCTAAGTTAAACTTAATAATTTACATCGAATGAAACATTATAATCTGAGTCAAACATTTAAAGTTATAACTTTACTTAAGTATTTTATGGGAAAATAACGTAATCCTAACTTAACTTAATATTTTATTAAGTTACCCAAGTTAAATTATCGAATAAAAGTTGCATCTGATGATATAAAATAGGCCTTTTGTAGGTTTATTGCAGAACTGTAACCTGGGTGATTTAAATAATATAAATATTTGGTAACTAAAATAACTTAGGTCTAGACTTTAGTTTAGACACAGGTTATGTACGGTAATAAAGATCTAAATAAAGTTATACACATCGGCCTACAGCTGGATTATTTTTAACCAGAAGCGGTTAAGATAGGCACTGTAGGGGTGGCACAATTTTTATTTCACCTGCAGAATTTTAATATGGACAAAATAAGAGTAAAAAAAAAAAAATTTATAATTTGTGTAATATAAAAATTAAACTGTCATTTAACCTAACCTAACTAACCAAACTTGCTGATAATCGCTATTACTAATCGCTACTGACTAATTTACTACTTTTAGTCCATCAGTGACGTTGAATATTAGGATCGGTCTATTTTGATCGCCCTACCGGCGCATGTACAGATCAGTAGCGAACTTGTTAAACAATTGATTTATTAAAATATTAAGGATACCTAATATGAAAGTAAAATCTTGAACTTCAGAAATTAAACCTAACCCCATGTTTGAAATGGGAAGACAAACTTTAGGTCTTAGGGGTTAAATGTAGGCTACTATTCTGTATTTAGTTCATTTTAAGTAGCCTATTTTTTTTTTTTTTTAGCTGCTGCACAGAAAATGTTCGGCATAAGTGAAGCCACGGAAGACAAAGTTACAAGCGTTGTTGCTAAGTGGCTTCAACAAGCCAAAACCACATGTGAAAGAAGGTAAGGATAAAAAATTTTCACTAACTAACTATTCAACTCATCATTAATATAATTCCATTGGTAGCCTAATAATACTGTACACTGGACTCAATTATACAGGGGAAGAGACAGTTGAAACTGACATGCCCTCATACTTGTTACATGATAAAAGTTTAAATGCAAAATATATTTATGCCAATACCGGTAATGTTAATTCTGTAAAAATAGTCAAACTATAGACACTTTGGGATAGTTACTAAATTACTGTAAACAAAACACAAGATGCCAAGACTTTATACCTTTCAAATATTTTGATCTTTAGACATATGAATGGTCTCAAATCTATCCTACAAGACAAGTTGTTTCAGCACCGCCCACTTCCTGCCGATCCAGTGTGGTTAAACCGTACTGATAAAAATTGTCTGGTTTAAGAAATATATCTGCTGAGTGCTGTCTGGTTACTAGGTCTACTGCATAATGGTTTTTCATCAAAATGTTTTTTATTGTTTATCATTATGATTACTCAAGTACTGTATAAGCTAAAAATACCCCCGCCGCAGCAAACCTGCCGACTAAGTGAATTTCCATTTGCCTGAATTGATTTTCAATTAAATGTATTTAATTAACATTAGCGTTAATGAGTACCTAGGCTTGCTGCTACAAGGAGGGTAAAAAAGTGTGTTTTTTAGTAAAATATTAATTACTTAGAATCAAATAAATAAATTTACCAAGTTTGGTCAAAAACAAGCAAACTACAACATTTTACAATATTCTCCATAAGAACAACATGGGAATTTTAAAATAAATTTTTGTTGGATTTTCTCCGTAACCAATAATTGTACAAAAACACTTTGATATACTAAATAATTTGTTTTTTTTAGCTCTTTAAAAAAAGGTTTGGAGAGAAATTGTAAAATTTTGTGATTAGAGGGTCAAAAATTAGAAAAACCCATTTTTACCCCATAAAACCCCGTTCCCATGGTCCGATCATGCTGGTTCGCGAACTTATTCAAGTTTATCCCGCCTTACACCTTCAAAACAAATTTCATCAAAATCGGACAAAAATTAACTTTGCCTACTCAAGTTATCATGTTCACGGACATATAATCTATATATACATATATAAAAAATGTGAACGAATAGTGTTTTTGGGCTCTGGGGACATCAAAATGAAAAAGTAAATCGGTTCCGGGCCTAGGTCTTGCCA